AGACCCCTCACTAATTTTGTCCCCACACGCTGTACACACTCAAGCGATTTGGTATCCTTTATCAGACATGGTCTAGCTGCTTGGATACAGTATTCTAAGTGTGGCCTCACATTGGTGGGATATAAAATTCGAAACATATCCTCGTCGAAGCATTTAAATGCTCTGCGAAGCGACCATAGAGCACGATAACCTTTGGAAGCAACCGCATTGCAGTGCGTAGTAGTTTTCAAGTCGTGATTTATAGTTACTCCTAAGTCTTTGTGCTCTTGAACGCGTAGAACAGATGTACCATTATTGTTATAGTGGTAACTAATATCGTGCCCGATGTGCATGAACACGCTATTCCTGGAATCAACTTCCAAGCCCCAATGATGAGCCCACCTAACTAATTCGTCCAAGTCTGCTTGCAGATAACAACGATCAGTCTCACTTCTTATTGTTCTCCAGATTTTAACATGATCTGCAAACAATAACGTTGACAACCTAAGTAATAAAGGTGGTTCATTAATATACAGAAAGAAAAGTAAAGGGCCTGAGATGGTGCCTTGGGGTACACCACTTTTGACCGGTTTCCATTCGGATAGCGTTCCATTGACCCTTATTCTCTGTCTGTGGTCACATAAGAAGCTTCCTATCCATTCCTGTACAGCACCTGTTATTCCAAAGCTCGATAGCTTCTGAATAAGACCTTATTGTGAGACCTTGTCAAACGCTTTGCTAAAATCTATGAATATCACGTCGACAGACAAGCCGTTGTCTAGGGCAGCTGTCCAATCCTCTCTCGCAATGAGTAAGTTAGTCAAGCATGAATGCTTGCTACGAAACCCATGTTGCTCGGGATTTAACAGATTGTACGAATCTATGTGGCTCAGTAGCTTAACCCGAATCAATTTTTCAAGTAACTTTACTATGATTGTCAGGCTAACAGGCCGGTAATTAGATACGATTCGTCTCTGACCATCCTTTAATATAGAACTAACTATGACGTCTTTCCAGTCTCTAGGTAGTTGAGCTTGTGAAAAGGACATGTTGAAGAGCATCGTGAGCGGTCTTGAGATAATGTCCGCGAGCGATGACAGCAAACGCGGGTGTAACCCATCGTGGCCCGATATCTTACAAGGTTTGGGGTTAGTTATCAAAGGAAGAACAATACCCTCGATCATGTGTATAGGTCCTATGGCTGGTATCTCGTTGTCAATGGTACAAATAGTTGTAACACTACACGTAGAGTAGACTTCAATGAAATAGTTTGCAAATGCCTCCGCTTTCACTAGAACAGATTCAGCCAATAAATCTGAATTTTCGCTTAACAGTAATGAGGGGATACCATCACTAGGTTTCGTCCGCCTTTTAACGTACGAAAACAGTCGCTTCGGACAGGTACGGCTATCGTATGCCAACTGTCGTTCGTAAGCCGTGCGGGATTTTGCTATGGTCTTTTTACATATATTCCGGATTTTTTTATATTCGCACTTAAATGATGCCTGACCTGTTGACAAGAATAAGTCTCAGAAGTGTTTCCTACGCTTCAACAGCTTCCGGGTTTCTTTATAAATCCTCGGAGGCCAATGTGATAGCTTACGTGCTGACCATGGGATAAGCGGTTGAGTTACGGATTCGAACGTAGACTTAAACCTATTCCATACATCATCGATCGATCCATCAGCATCGACCGACCAGTCAACCGAGATAGCATAGTCTTTGATTGCCGGAATATTAGCTCTCCAGATATTAGGACGGGGTGGAGCAGATACAAATCCTATGCCATGTATCCAGAACTTAAAGGAAAGTACGACATGGTCACTATTCACCAGTGGAGGAAGGTGTTGAATGTCGACGACATTTTTTCACGATGGTGTGTGAGGTTAAGGTCTATCAGTGACGGATTATGTTCCAAGTCAATATGTGTCGGCTTAACGATACATTGTACAAGTGCACATTGAATAATTGATGATAGAAGGACGCTATCAAAACCCACACCTGGAGCTGTGAGCTCTATCCAGTTTATATGAGGTGCATTGAAGTCTCCAACAATGAGACAACATTCTGCCTTACTCCAAGAACAGACGTGTCTTAGGATAAAGTAGTCAACGAGACAACACGGACTACAATATATTCCTCCTATCGTCACTAACCCGTTTCTAGATTTAATTGTACAACATACTACCTCACACGTACCACTTACATGCGACTCCGATCTGATCGAGTTTATGCGGAAGTGGTCCCTAACATATAATATTATGCCTCCTCCCTTGCGACTTCTAACTCTATCACTTCTGATACAGATGTAGCTTGAAATGCCTGGAGAACAGTCTATATCTACAGTGAGCCAAGTTTCGGTGATAACAATTATATCCGGATTTAAGTCGTCTACCATCAAACTTAACTCAGACATCTTATTCCGAAGACTACGGGCACTCGTGTATTACACACTTAAGGTGTTTTTGGAGACATACGTTCTACCTACACAGGTCTCGGAAGCATTGGCTTCCAAGACCTGACTACCCGAAAACCCTTAATCGTAAGGTTCGTTTCACCGTTTAGCTTACGAGTTTTTAACTCTGTTAGGGCATTCTTCCACTTGATCCGATCCTCAAGTGGCCAGTCAGGTCGAATACGAATGTTTGAGTCCCAAATTTTGCGTGCGTTATTCAGTACTACGTCTCTTTCTTCAAAATTACCGAGTACTAATTTAAGGATCCTTCATTGTTGGGTTTCGCCTCCAACATATTTACCGAGTCTGATGACTTTCGAGAAATGTATCCCTGAGACCTCATCGGGCCGTACATTTCTGATGAGAGTCCCACTAACTGCAGTTCGTGGGCATGTCTATTAGCAGGATCGGTGTCTTTCGATTCTTCCAAGTTCCAAATGATTACACTAAGGACCTGTTTAACTTCCTTAAAAGTCGTATTCACGGCTTTCGACCGTGATGTCAGATCCTGCCGGTTAGATACTGACTTCTTACTGTTAGCTTTCTTTATAACAGTGTCGTGTGAGTCGAACGAGTGACTCACAACAACATTCGGTGAAGCCAAACTGTTCCCATCCACAACAGTGCTAAATATTTCATAAATATTCATAATTCTCTTCGGGATATAACACTTAGAAACATCGTTCATTGAATATTCTGTGGTTGTATCATTTGAATTTGCGCTTGAATAATTTGATCCTGTTATTAATGAGTTTGCACGTATCATTATCGAGGTTTGACTTGATATATTATTCATTTATGACAATCTACTAAATGATCAATTTATCCGAAATTATGAAGTCAAACCTTGGTAATGATACATGTAAAGCTCGTTTTGTTTTGTCCACAACTGTTTGAACCGCATAGCGTGATGTTCTCACACTCGTTAATTTGAAGCGAACTATCTGGAATTTTGAAGCTGTCTCACATCGCACCACTTCACGAAGGAGGTAGACGCAAAGAACCTTCAAGTTACAAACCGTTGGCTCTTCTCTCTATGCCTTCAAAAATTATGGAGTCCCTGATATACAGGGGTATACACTACTACTTATTATCCTTAAACTTCCCACCCCAATAGCATGGTTTTACGAAGGATCACTCTTGTATTACCAACCTGCTGTATAACCAACCTGTGAACATATGGGCTAGCGTCCTTGATCACATGGGGGAAGGTTGACATCATTTGCCTTCATTTCCCAAAAGCCTTTGATAGGGTCAACCATGTATGTCTTACCAATAAGCTCAAACGATTGGGTATCAAACCACCTCTAATTGACTGGCTCACCTCATATCTAAAAAAGTCGACACTTTAAGGTCAGGGTTAACTTCACTCTCTCTCAGACTATGGAATGTCCTAGTGGGATCCCCAAGGGCTCAATACTAGGCCCTCTTCTCTTCTTGATTTACATTAATGATCTTCCTAAGTATGTTTCATCTCACTTATTGCTTTTTGCTGATGATGTGAAACTTTGGAGAGAGATACGTAATCATAATGATATACTAGTTCTTCAGGAGGATCTAACTGGACTCCAAAGTTGGCCAAACGACAACGGAATTACCTTTAACAATTCAAAGTATTGCAGACTACAGTTGCAACTTAAGAAACTCCTCCCTAGAAGTATCCCAAGTCAAAAGTTATTTAGGAGTATTGTTACCCTACGATTTGAAGTCTTTTGCTAGCTGAAAAAAGTGCTTTCCTAGCAAACCTTGCACTGGTAACATTGAAGCTCATTTCTGGCGAACATGATAGGTGGACTTTCTACATAATCTTCGACAGTTTTATTCTTCCCTATTTACAGTACGGAAACAGTATTTCCTCCATCACTCCGAAAGGATAAGGACACTCTGAGGCGCACCCGACAGCGAGCCACGAAATCAGTTTGGGATCTCAAATTTAAATCTTGCGAAAAACTCCATTCACCTAGCCTTTACCTATGAGATTATAGACGTCTTATAGGTGACGTTCTAATGGTTTACAATATCCTTAACACTTCTGGACATCCCTTTAAACATCTGCTTAAGTTTAGCTACAACAAAAACCTAAGGGGTAACACATAGAAACTGGTGACATAACATAGCAGAGAGGAATGTAGACACGACTTCTACTCAATACGAATTGTCAAATATTGGAATTCGCTGCCGACTGTGCTAGTCAAGGCGACTTCCCAGGAGTCCTTTAGGAGGATAATATCTCATTATGATTTACCAATTTCTTTTTTACTATATTATCGTTTTTATACCCAGCTTCCTGCTTATAGGTATTGGTGATCCACTGGTACTAGACACGGAAACCCGTTAAGCGAAAGCTTCCATTCCGTCCACAACCATTTGAACCATTTGTTTGATTCATAATGCGATAAAAATATGACAGAAGTCAGTAAATTGTTACTAAAACAGTCTTCCAAAAGCATTACATGTCTGCCTTAAAAATTCAAAAAAACGATCGAACTGTTTTGTTTGGATAAATCGGTGCATAAATGAGTGCATTTAACCTTCTAGGGAATCGTTTCAATTGCATGTTTTCGAGATGACTTCCCTGATGGACTATGTTTGTCCATATAGTGGTAAAGTAGGTCAGATGTTTGGAAGTTTACAACTGTTTCAGAATGAATGGGTATATCAGTGGAACGAATATTTACCTTCGATTCCTGATTGCGGGAATAAAATTCTATTCCCTTTTCTCCTTGTTATCTTCTCACTTTTGGGACTATTGCCTTATACTTTTATTCTAATAGCTTCAAAATCAAGTCACAGGCGTTTGATTTCGTGCTTATATTTAGGCAAATTGGTAAGAAAGTTTGTTTCAATTTCCTAACTTTTCCTAGGGTCTCGTTTGCATTTCTCTTCTTCTCAATACCGTTAGTATTTTGTATGTCGTATTGAAAATGAAAGAATTCGCTTTATATTCATTTGCTAGACCTGCTTTTACATCAATTTCTCTCGTAAGTTTATCAAGTTGACTTTCTATTTAGTACAAAATAATCTGTTTAGTCACTTTACTTGATGGTAATTCTTTTTAATCATATCTTTTCGTGCATCATCATTAACAACAACTACTAAAATAGAGTCTGTCTGTATTTTCACTGTGAACTATCTCATCTTACCGAGAGCAATTTTAACCAGTTGCTTAATGTTACTGATAAAAATGTGTGTTTATGTATCTTGTTTCACACTATCTTATGTTTCATATATATCTAAAATATAAGTCTAAAAACTTTTCCAATTGCTTGCTGCCTACCTCTCAAAGTTTATCCCTAGGGACCATAAGGTAAATAAATACTTCACCCCTAATAGTTATGATGTTAATCATGTCCATCCTTTTATGATATCATTTTTAAGATGGAAAGGTTAGGTATATTATTTCAGTTTGTTCCATTTCCTGAAGGTGATGTTTCGTACAAACCCTAAAAAACGTCATTGTTGTTGTCTATCTAATTCTAACGACTGTACTAGTTAAGCAAACATCAATATAATAGACTTCTGTATCCGTTCATCTGTATCAAACTGATGCACACAACTTGGGCGCTTAGGAAGCTTCATTCGGCATAATGGTCTTTAATAATAATATTGTTGATTTGTAAAGCTATTTCACCAACAATCCGTAATACTATTCTTGGAATGTAACGTTTAAGAACAATTTCTAGGTTAATAGATTTCCTCAGGATTAACAGCTCTACGTATCTCATCAGAATGTCTCAACAGCTTCTAGGCATTTCCTGCACTGGATCTTTTTAATTACGTAAATCTCTTGCGATTTCAATATAAAAGGGAGAATATGTGTCCAGTTGGATTTTAGTCAGTGATTGTTCAATGCCGTATTCTCAAGCGCTAAGTAATAGGTGAGGATTAACTCCTGTACTCCGTGGTGTTAGATAGAACTCGTACATGTTAATAGTCCAGGTCGTTTGCCAGGATATTAATATGCTTTTATTCAGACATAATGGGTGCTCTATGTTTTAAGTGAAACAAATACTATCATCAGTGAAGCAGACAGTAGTTAAATTTAAACTGAAAAGCGGTTTTAAATGACCGGAAATCGCATTAGTATTGAACGTAAGGTTTAAGAATTACGGAAAGATTAAGAATTACGGAAAGACCTGTATTTATTAAAAATAATAATCAGCCTGTATAAATCGATACATGTAACTACTCAAGTTTGGCATGTAATCAGTGAATTTCTGGAAATGAGTAATTTTCCTAACATATAAATACGTATTCTGTTAGTCTTTGAAGATACAGTAAACATCAATCCAGTTTGAACCTATGTAATAGAATGCGAAACCGTAAACAAACTAAATAGCTTTTAAAACTTTGCAATGTTTAATTATCTTTAGTTTCTGAGAAGATAGCAATCAAAATCTTCTTAAACGTCTAAAAGTATGCTTCGTTATTTTCCACAACTAATCGTAAAACGATCGTTTTATAGTCAAGTCGTATTCGTGATATTACATTGTGAGATTCTCATTGCTGATATGTGAACGTTTCTCACTATCTTAGGGCTAAAAATACCTGACGAATATAAGCTGTACACTTTTATCAATTCTCTCAAGCCTGCCAAAATGTGGAGCATCAGTCTTGATAGTATGGTTGCTTATCTTGCACACATAATCTTGTAGAAATTATCATTTATCACTAAATGTCGATCACCGTGACTGAATTAGTTTATGTTGTAGTTCGATTGCAGACCTGATTGGTGCAATTATGTTGAGTCCAAAGACTGGCTATCGTGATATTTGCTACTCTTCGGCAACCAGTTTATACCTCTAGAGGGTAATCACAGTAAATAATGTATATGTATATTCTTAAGACTATAGCATTTTTCCGGATTCATGTGATTGCTTACATTTTACTCTAGAATTATCTTGTTTCAAATGACGTTAAATCGATAAGTTTTCAAGAGTGATAACACACCATGTGGCATATTATCCAGATGCCAACAAGTGAAAAATTTTATTGCTGGCAAGTTATGCACTGGGTATGTGAGAAATAACCTATTACTATGGCGTCCCTTTATTTACTTACACCACAACTTCTGTACTAAGCGCAATCAAATTACAGAATGTTATTCACTTTCTGCTGGATGGGGTTCAATTAAATTCAAAAGAATAACTGTATTCAAGGCTAAAAAAATTAGTAATGCTTATTAGAAAAAAATGTGATGATAGTCTCTTTATGGTGACGTCATTTTTTAAATTACTGTTTTCAAATTAGGAAACAAACTTATCCGGATACTTCTTTTCAAATCATATCCATTTACTTCATAATTTTTTGAAATAACAGTTTGTATGAATAGATTTTAAAAATCTAGTTAGCTGTGCCTAATGCAGTATTCATTGCATTCGTAACATATTGTTACATAATATCCAGCTTGTAAGATATGTTGTTGGACATGTAACTTTAAATAAGTGAAAGGTATTTGGAGTTTAATAGCTAACCATACTTCCTCTATCTGGCTAACCTGATAACTGTAGTGTTAAACTATACTCTAACATCCGTCTTGCATATTTTTAATTCACTGTTAATCGAGATTATTGCTCAATTTCGTGTGGCAGAATGATTTATAGATTCCAAAACTGATTACTAGAAACCTTTGTATGCGTAATAAACATTTAAACTTAGAAATAAACAAGAATAGGCATTCTTTTAGTAAGTAACATCCAAATGAAAAGCTTGATCTTTTTCAAGGTTGAACTCAAAAGGTTTGTGAAAAGATAATTATATTGACCACTAATTTATTCTACTGGGATTTAAGCAATTATGCTTTCTAGTATTTCGTATGATAAGGTGTCAACTTTTAGACTTAGAAGTAGTTTGATTTTCATTTATTTTCGTTGAAAACATATTTTAGGTTTCATTTATCGTTGTTATGCATTATGAACGTAAACGAAATACTCCAAACTCTGGTGTATGCTTTTACTATTTATTATTGTTGAACTTTGTTTGGATATGCTGTTGCTGGAATCACATTGTTCACTATATAAAGGTTAGAAATATATATCTATTTTAATTAGTGTCTTTTTTATTTATAATATTTTTTATCTACTCAGAATGATGGTTTGCTCAGCTGGTTAGCTTCACACATGAATCTGTGGAAATGTGTTTGATATGTGGTTTTAACCTGAGCATGTAGTAGGCATATGATAATAGCCTATTAATATTGTACATGAATGTTAAGTATGTTTAAAAATTCTCTACTGATTTTGTGAGTTCATATGTTCAATCTTAGGCATTCATCGTATTCATACCAAGCTTACTTTAAACATTTATATCTTGTGTTAAGTGCAGCTCGCTAATTAAGCACACGTTTGTACATTCTCATTTAATCCATACTTGATATGTGTAACGACTAGAAACAGTACCCAGTTATTTAAACCAAAGTAATCTGAACGAGTTTAAAGCATCAAATTCAACAGCAGACAATCAAATCTATCAATCAAAATGGTCTATTCAGCTGATTTTATCAAGGGGTTTCGTTCTATTCTCTTCTGATTTTGAATTCTTATATTTAAAGGACATCACAGTTTCCACAAACAGACATTTTTTCAATGAAACGGTTTGAATTGATTGATCACTTAGTAGCATTGGATGACGCATTTTCGAAACCCATGAAGAACACTAATCCCCTCATAACTGTTTGTATGTCTAGCTAATGAATGGCAATGAACACGAAACCCAGGTCCAACGATTAAGTATAGCCATCTAAAAAGTTAGTCATTTTATCATACAAAAATTCCGCTTTCATCTGATGACCAATTCGTTGCAATTAATAGATAGTAGAATAAATTTCGTACACTGTTCAGTTTTGTAACATAAATTATCAATATAGAGGCCGATTATCATGTTTATTTATACTGCTAACAAATAACTTGGCAAGTATGCTTACAAAATCTGATCCAAATTTGTCCCTATCACCTTTTTAGTGCTATCTATACACAGATGATCATGGATAATTATGTTCAAATTTGTACAAGTAATTGTAGACACGCGTACTCACACTTTAATATCTATATGGCACACTTCAATCCACTGATTATTAGTGAACTAAGTAGTAAAATTTTTAATCACGAAATAACATTTTCTACTTGATCGTTGAAAACCAGGAAAAACTTAAAGCTGTTTTATTCTAAATTCAACTTAATATTGTTTGTTTGAATCTTCCCATCTATTTGTTAGGACTGCAACTGGTCAGTCTCTAATTGGCATATGTGCATACTGTGCGTATTGCCTCGATATACCTTAATTCACAAGCATGGTTAGCAGAGATGGATAGTGGCTAGCAGTGGAATCCAGGACGCGCGTTTCGTCCTATTTGGGACTCGTCAGCTGGATGTACCTGCATCTCAGATTTGATGTTCACTCTGGGACTCGAACCCAGTACCCTCGCTTCAAACGCCATCGCGTTATCCACTCGGCCACTGAGTCCTGTTAGCCACTTGCTTGTGCGATGGGGTGAAGTTTAAATTCAACTTAGTATTGTTTGTTTGAAACGTCCCATCGATTTGTTAGGACTGCAACTGGTTAGTCTCTAATTGGCATATGTGCATACTGTGCGCGCGTCCTGGATTCCACTGCTAGCCACTATCCATCTCTGCTAACCATGCTTGTGAATTAAGGTATATCGAGGCAATACGCACAGTATGCACATATGCCAATTAGAGACTGACCAGTTGCAGTCCTAACAAATCGATGGAAAGATTCAAACAAACAATACTAAGTTGAATTTAAACTTCACCCCATCGCACAAGCAAGTGGCTATCAGGACTCAATGGCAGAGTAGATAACGCGATGTCGTTTGAAGCGAGGGTACTGGGTTCGAGTCCCAGAGGGAGCATCAACTCTGAGATGCAGGTACATCCAGCTGACGAGTCCCAAATAGGACGAAACACGCGTCCTGGATTCCACTGCTAGCCACTATCCATCTCTGCTAACCGTGTTTTATTCTAGTATATATATTTCTAACAGTACACATCTATAGTCCTATCGGGAATCATACCCATGACTTTCAAGTCGCGTTCGGAATGTTATTAACTTTAGGTTATTAAGTTAAAATTCCATTTCATTGTGAAGTAAACCAGATCAGACAATCCCAGTCGAAAAATTCAAAGGCATTCTAGTAACTGGCTACATGATGAATCTTCGCAGTTCTAATGAAAATCACCGGCTAGGAGTGTGCAGCTCTCTCTCCCTCTGTTTATATATATGTATATATATATATACTTGGTCAGAATCCGCGTAACTGTCGTAACCAATGGTTGGAGACTCTAGGTGACTCGGCTCCCAATCGATCACAATGACGTAGGTGTATGCACTCTTTATCTTACCTTAAACCTTGAGATAAAAATTGCTTCATATCTGTCTTTCTTCCTATACTATATCCTTATATACAACCTATCTTTTATATACTACCACCATTAAATTAACTACTTCTATGAATCCGGTGTTCATCTTGTGCTAACGAGGTATGGCAACTTTGACCGATGCATAACTGTCCCTGGTCCTACGTTGTAGCTGACTGACTGATATATCATACATACATGTATTAATCAATATAACTGTTCACCAATATATATATATATATATATATATACATATCATTTTTAATCGTTTCTTGTCTTTTTCAGAATTCCAAGAATTCTATGATATTGTTCACAACAATCAATAATACTTCTATTATTCCTAATCGTAATACTACACTTCCACTTCATTCAATGATACAAAACAAGGAGAATTTTCTGGAAATTTTAGATTATATAAATTTACTTATCTCTTTTATTATTTTCATATTGAATTGTAATTCCGAACGTCGTCAATGTTTAAAAACGAATAGAATTATTAATATAACAAGAAAGAGCTCAGATGTAATTACTGATGTTCATAATAATAATTCCATTGATCAAAATGATGATAAAGATCTTACAGAGCATTTAACTAATCAAATAACATTAAATTACAATGATGTAAATGTAGAAATACAAAATTTACAAGTAAGTCAATAGGTTTTTTATCTAATGTGTGTACATTATGGGCCAGGGTAATCTTACACTGGTTTTCAGGAGAACCAGACACCATTGAGACTTTCACGCGGCAACTCAAACAGTACAGTTCAATCCCATTTAACAGGAGAGCCAGACACTGCCTAGGCTTAACCCAAGCAGCACAGTTCAATCCCACCCTATAGGAGAACCAGACACTATATAGGCTTCAACGCTACAATCTGAACAGTACAGCTCAATCCTGTGGCGCAACTACTCAGGTAACAAACACCCTGGTGGACCATTTGTACCGTTCATATACAGATTTACATCCCGTGTATACATATTCCGATCAGTGATCGCGTATATCAATCATGCACAGCATGAACAAACCAAAGTTGACACGATAGTCAAACTGATTAATATTAGCAGTGGCGATATGCCTTACAATGCTCCAATGACAATAGTCCTTGAGAACATTTAAAAGCAACCAGCAAACCAACTTTTCACATGGACAGCCAGCAAAACTTGCCAAAGCAATGGCGAACCTCCAGCCTCATGTGAGACCTTCAGCTCTACTAACCATACAGCTTATACTGTATATCACACACATATAGGGCAGTAAGCGAAACAGCCCAGCCTGAAGCATTAAGGTCTAAGAACGCTTATAACCCATTGTCTGGTGTCGGAATAGTAATACAAGACCACCAAGATCATTTTTATGGCATTTGCGAAATTTTCATTTTTCCGACTTTCCAGACCACCCTGAGTTAGGGGTAGTATCCCTATCATATATATTGGTTGAAGCTTATTGAAATGAACTAATTAAGTTAGTTAAAGATTCAGATGTATTACTAATTCTACGTCAGTTATTATCAGTTGAAAAGCAATTACAATCTGTTAAAGAAATATTCATCAAACCTTAATACATGAACAACTGGGTAATTATTAAATTATATTTTATCGATTCAGTAGCAGTTATTATGAATGGTACTATGGATTGTTAGTTAAAGTAATCATTTGTAAATCTACATTTTTCTTATTAGCGCTTTACTCCATCTAATTTGAGTAGTGTTATTAACTGTCATACAACTTGTGTTGATCAAAAGCGAATATAGTAATCAAGGGTTTTTTACTGGCTATACACTATACTCATGAAATACTTAGTCTGAGATGGTTTAAATATTTTTACTTGATAATGAATAATAAAAGCGTATTTTTTCAGTTAGTACAAGGGAGCACCAAATAGATATGCACCGGACAACTCTCATTTGATTTGTGTGAGGGCTGTGATACTGCCCAGGTGCCCAGACTGAAGCAGGTGGTTTTCTTAGGGGCCACACCCAAAGCCTTTGACCTAAATGTCTGATCCACAAGGCAGTGGAGCATCGTGAGGAGATGCAGTCCCATGGTAGCCAGTGACCGACGATTGATTTATACACCATTTGTTCCCTCAAGATACTGGAGCCCATGTGCACCATTGGTTTGGAATCAGGGTTTTTCAACTCCCCTAGGTGGACTCTCCGTGTCCACCGGCTGGGTTAAAGCACCGGACATTCGCTTTTTGTCCGTTCAATTTCGTAAGCAACAGCCCGGTGGCGCGAAAAGGCAGTGAGTAGGGCTTTCCTGGCAGAGGTTATATGCGCGTGTCCATTTGAGAGCATTTGTAGAGGGAGAGCAGACTCTCCCAACTCTCAGCCGTACCAGGGTATAAATAAAATAGTAACTGACGCTACCAACTTGTTTCATCCTATTTTTAACTTGTCATAAATAATGACTTTAAAAAAGGTATAATAATCCTTAAAAATATGTGTTTTTAGAACTGTTCTAAACAGTATTATTCATGTTGAAGTTAGTGGCTAAGTTATTTTAATTCAAAATGTTACATAAATCATACGAAGTTATAAGTCTTCATTAATTTAAGATGATAAGACATTTGTTATGAATTATCAGAAATAAATGGTGAACTTATAAAAGACTCATAGTCATTAAATTGAAATAGCATTGGAATATAATATCAGGGTAAGGTAGTATTGTAATCCATGATATCCAAATCAGATGTACACACTCCATATATTTTCATAGTCACTGCCCAATTCATGACAAACGTGGATTAAAAAAAGGATTTATTCAACAGAATCAATCGTATGTATCACACATTATACTTGTTGTGATCATTGATATATATATATATATAAATAAAAGGTCAACTAGACTAGAAATAGAGGGGGGTAAGAAGAGACAAGGATAATAATAATAATAATAATATAAAAAAAAACTTGAAACCAAATCACTTTGGGTAATAAACTAATATTATGAAGGTAGGTAATTTTTTAGGGTGAGAACATACTGTTTTTGGTGTACTTTATATGTATATATTCTTTCTTTGTTATGACTTACCTTTAAACCTGTCTAGTTGACCTTTTTAATTTTCATATCAAAATTGTCTTAACCATGTATACTATGTATGATCAGATTATTCGAAATATATATATATATCACATGATTCGGATAAACTTCATCTTCTCATTAAATTATTGAAATAACAATAAACTTAATCATTTAGTAACAAATTATAACATGAATTTAGTAAGATGATTAAAATGTTGTTGTAGTTTTGTTACAATAATAATTAAAGGTCATAGAGGTTATTATTTATTTATTTAAACACGTAAATATTAATAAAGAGGGAAGCACCAGTTACATATGCACCTCACAAATCTCATTTGATTTGTGTGTGGTCTGTGATACTGTCCAGGTGACCAAACTGAAACAGGTGGTTTTCTTAGGGGCCCACACCCGGAGCCTTTGACCTAAAGGTCTAGTTCACAAGGCAGTGGAACATCGTGAGGAGATGCATTCCCATGGTAGCCGGTGATCAACGATTGATTCGTACGTCATTCGTTCCTTCAGGATATTGGAGCCCATGTGCACCATTGGTTTGGAATCAGGGTTTTCCAACTCCCCTAGGTGGTTCCTCTATATCCACCAACCCTGTTTGAGCTCCGGACATTCGCTTTTCGTCCTTTCAATTTCGTAAACAACACCCCCGCCACGAGAAGGCAGTGAGTAGGACTTCCCTGATGGAGGCTATATATTCTCTGGCCATGTGAGGGCATTTGGAGAGGGAGAGCGGACTCTCCCGACTCTCGGCCGTACCAGGGCATTTGGGGGCAACGCATAGAGGTGAAGTGATATCATGTGCAATTATGAACAAAATAATGAGACATAAGTAGAGGGAGAAATGCAGTAATAATAATAATAATAAATGAAGGCCCCTGTAACGATAATGATATGGCGTACTTCGTTCTGGTTTGAACTCATGGATGATAAAAGCTTCAGCTATTTTTAGGAGACATCTATGTAGATTTGGACGAATCGTATATACAGCCTTCAAATCAAACTGTGGGGCATAGTAGAATGATTACAGTTGATTAAATGTTAGGAGTTTCATATTTGAACAAAAACATTTTAATCACCTTACTACAATCACGTTTTAATTTGTTGCTAACTTATTAAGTCTATTGTAATTAGTCATATTACGTAATCTAGTATTACAATTTTTCTCTTACGTCATCTTCGTTATTCCTTGTTCATATTTCCTCACGGGACTAGTACTTTAACAAAGAAAAGTTTTCATATGTATACGACTGATAATAAATTCACTTAACTGAATTTCATATTTTTTTTTTACTGTTTAAATGGGGATTTTAATAGTTGAGATCATGAATCAATTGAAGCTAGATCACCATGGAAAAACTAAAATCACTGGACAACCGTTTCGTCCTATTGTGGGATTCCTTCCAGGTTTTCCATGGCCATCTAGCTTCAATTAATTCATGATCTCAACTATATAAAAATTACTATAATATCCATAAAAACCCCTTCTGATATAAATGGGAATTATCTGTCAATCGAATAAATATTTTATTGAACCTATAGCTCTTCTCACCTCAATGTAATCAATTGAATATTCAGCTTAATTTTATCCATAGGTGATAATCATTGTCACATTAACAATATCATCTACATCATATGATCATTTATGTATCTTTTAACAACCTGACTCATAGACTATATGAAAAAAAAAATTCAAAAAGAACGTTTTTCCTTTTATACATTGAAATTGTGGCTAACAGAGTAAACCAGGAAGTAGGGTTCAATTTATTTGGAACTCGTTAGCTGAAAATAACTGGATTCATGTGTTGTTGTTCATATTGACACTTTAACTTATTAATTATCTCTTCAAACTCCAACGTACTATTCACTAAGCTACTGAATCCAGTTAGCCACAAACTTATTAAACAGTATTAATCTATTTTAAATATTTCACATTTGCCTGTTATCGTGGATCCCATTGCTAACCACAGTGTAAACATGCTAAAATTTGTAGTCAAAAAGAATTATCGAGGTAGTCCATTCAAAATGCATACATTTTTTGACAAGAGAATAACTGATTGTCTTATCACTTACATGTTCTATTTGTAAATGGAAGTAGTTGTTAAGGAAATAAATTAATTGGTAAGTTAGACATTATTAAACCCTAATGGTAGAATTATTTTGATTTTTAAGCCAAATTTTTTAAAAATATTATCTCTACAGTATGTACAACTAGTTGATTGATCAAAGACTAGTAAATTTTATTTGATCTAGTTTCAGTAACAGATACAATAATGAATCTGAATGTTATTAGTTTTTTGATGTGTTCTAGTTTAAAGTTGTAGTACCATTAAATTAAGATCTATGAAACTCGCATCCTGAATGGTTGATTCTCAAGGACATATAACATAAATGACACAAGCTAATGAAAGCTAGTTAAGCCTTTTGTATCAGTGCTAAGATTTCGTCATTGATACTAGTGAAAGGTTGTATATACTAATTGAAAAAAGAAAAAAAAAACGATATCATTAATCGTGAGGTTTATTTTAATAGAGAATTTTTATACAGTTGAGACCATGAATCAATTGAAGCCAGACCACCACGGGAAACCTGGAAGCACTGAACGGTCGTTTCATTCTATGATGGGACTCCTCTGCAGTGCGCATCCCCGATTCGAACCAAAGACCTACCAGTCTCGCGCCAGGGCACTTAATCGTTCGAATCTCGTGAGGCGCGATCGTGGATGCGCACTGCAGAGGAGTCCCCAAAATAGGACGAAATGGTCGCCCAGTGTTTCCAGGTTTTCCATGGCGATCTAGCTTCAATTGATTCATGATCTCAACTATATAAAAATTACTAAAATCTCCACTAAACCTCTTCTGTTAATAGAGAAATATTCATTTGAAAGCAATAATTATACTTTGATAATAACTTGGGGCATAGATGTATAATAAATATTCATTAGTACTTTCTTCTTCTTCCCTCTTTTTTTCATTATTGACTCTCATGGAAGAAATTTTTTTGTCAGGGTTTTCCATCTTGATTTCTTTTTTTTGTTGTTGTTTGGAATTCGTCTATTTTTTTTCTTACACGAAATCTAAATATTAATTAAAATTGTAAAAAAAAATTAAACTAATTAAATGATGCTTTTTAAAAAAAAAATAATTTAGGCAAAATCTCCTGAAACTGATTGTTCCTATTTGTCACGTATCACTTATTCATGGTTTACAAGGTAGGTCAGTATAGTTTCTTTCTTTTGTGTGTGTGTGTGTGTTTTAGTTCATTATTGTTGGGGATATTTTAAAATGATGATCCTGTGTTTTTAGAAAAAAGAAACGTCTATACATCCACTCCTTTTATTTATTTATTAATTTGAACATATAAATATTGGTACAAAGAAGCACCAGATATATTGTCATTTCATCTAATTGTGTGAGGGCTATGATACTGCTCGGGTACCCAAACTGAAGCAGGTGGTTTTCTACGGGGGCCACACCAAGAGCCTTTCACCTAAAGGCAATGGAGCATCGTGAGGAGATGCAGTCCGATGGTAGTTAGTGACCTACTATTGGTTCATATGCCATTTGTTCCGTCAGAATACTAGAGGCCATGTGTACCATTGGTTTGGAATCAGGGTTTTCCAACTCGCCTAGGTGGACTTTCTGTGTCCACCAACCCGGTTAAAGTGGCGGACATTCGCCATTCGTCTTCTGGATTTTGTAGAAAACACCCTCGTTACGAGAAGGCAGTGAGTAGAACTTTCTTGGCAGAGGTTGTATATGTATAGCCGTATGAGAACATTGTTTTAATGATTGATGATTGTGCTATATCAACTTCCAAGTCTAAAGATATCCTAGTCGTTACAACTCTTGGAAGTCCTAAATAAAGATGGTAAAATTACCAAATATTTCATATTTCAATGGATCTGTAAATGCTGTCAGTCCGTGATGAGAACTTTTTTAGCAAGGTTAACTAAAGTACACTAGTGAATACATTATATGAATAATTCAATGTTGTTGGCAATGTTTAGTGAAATTTCTTGAGGGACCTGAAAAGGAAGTTGGATTAGTGTTGGTCTTAACGACCTGGGAGCGTGACCGCAGTGCCCAAGGGACATCTGCTTGAGGCCGGTCACGCACGGCCTTTTTGTGGGGGATTTTTGACGTGTTAGCTCCGTTCTTCAAAAGTCCTTACCGCCGGAGACGGAAATCCGTGGGATAAGGTGAGGTGTGCATTTTTAGGGTAGACCTTTTCTAACCCCACCCCTCCTTGTGGGAAGGCAGCATCGCTGTCATGCTGGTTATCTGAAGGAAACACCTTACTTCTGTCACACCTCTGTACAGTTAGCAGTACGACTTCGCCTTCGGACCTTGGGATTGCTGCTTTTAGTCTCACCGCTCTTCAACCGACCTGTCTGGCATGGTAGGACCTTGAGGAACGATTGTTCCAGCCAGCATAGCTCGATTGAATCATCACGATAGGCAAGCCCGACCACCACGTCAAGGTAGCAGCAACGGCCGGGTTATCTCACTGTTGTACATAATATGGTAATAACTCTAACAATTAATGGATTCTTAATTTTTGGAAGTTCTGAAAACAGCAATTCCATAAATCAAACTATTCTTTTTATTAATGAATGGCGAAGAGAAATTTTTCAGGGGAAAGAATTTCATCAAACTTAAGACCTTAACCTTCAAACCACAGTATTAGGTTCCCTAGGTTTACATTTCTATGACAAATCAATTGTAGTTAAGTCCCATTCTACAAGAAAACATCTATCAAATACTTCTTTGTTTTTAGTGCTTTTTAAAATCCCTGATGTTAAGCTGAAGATTTCAACAGTCTATACTAAGAACTTTGTAGTTCGTTGGATCATAGCGGCTTGAATTTATTATAGTGAATGTTTATCATAAAAACTATGAGTTCAGTCTTTATGAATGTATTATGCTAAGTTTATTTATTAATTATTTATTTGAACACGTAAATATTCGTACACAGGGGCACTGAGTACATATGCACCACATAAATCAATTGATTTGTGTAAGAGCTATGATACTGCCTGGATGCTTTGACTGAAGATAGTAAAATCAAGTTACAACATGATCGTCACCAGCTTCTATTCTGAGGCATATCTAATAACGTCTCAAGCCGCTGTATTGCACCATCTCTAGAACCCTAACCAAGGAGTCTTGAAGGACAATATGTATAATAACTTGTTCTGTTGACATTGAGTTTGATTAGTTGTTGTTATTGTTGTTGCCATTGATATTAACCCTGTTATTATCTAGATATTAACATGTTTATTTTTAAAAAAAAAAATTCAAGTGATCAACTACTCATTTTCACCATTATCTCTTTTGATTTTTTTGTCTTTCATACTTTCTTCTTTCTAGTCTAATCATCAAAGGATTTCGTAAACCTGTTGAATTTAAAGATATATGGCGATTAGATTCACAACATTGTTCAGAGAATGTATCCAAAATATTCTTAAATAATTTGGATAAATATTTAATACCAAATAAATCAACGAATAATTATCTGTAAGTTAATTATTAATCCCTTTTTTTTATATGTCATAACTTACGCCTGTTACTCCTAATGGAGCATAAATAGCCGACCATCATTCTCCAATTAATTAATATTCATTTAATTGATACAGTATGTATCTTACTAATTAATTATATATGTAAATTATCAGAGTTCTAATGAAAAGTCATGACTAGTGGAGTTTAACAATGTTGAATGTGGGATAGTTATCTATTACAGCAGTGTAATAGGGCTACTTAATATCTTAACTTGATTGAAGTTGGATATATAAACCATTCGATGACATCTCAATAGTCTAAACGTTAAGCTATCGCCGTGAGACTTGAAAGTCTAGTGAAACGTTTGTTTAATACACTCTGTTATTTCTAAAGGTTTTACATCTAATATATCGGTTTATAAAACGAGTTGTCCTCAGACGTTTACCATTTATTATGATAATGAAATATCGAGGCAATAGACACAGAATGCACATATACCAATAAGAGACTGACCAGTCGCAGTCCTAAGCATCAATGGGAAGATTCAAACAAACAATACTAAATGATCACAAGGGGGTTTTTGTGGAGATTTCGTAATTTTATAGTTAAGATCATGAGTCAATTGAAGGTAGACCACAGTGGAAAATCTGGAAGCACTGGACGGCCGTTTCGTCCTATTATGGGACTCATCAGCAGTACGCATTCACGACCTCGCACTCGCGAGATTCGAACCCAGGACCTACCAGTCTCGAGCCAGAGTCCTTAACCGATAGACCACTAAGCTGGCATCCAACGGTGTTAATATCTAACCTCAATCAATCCACGAAATTGCGCGACCAACTTCCAATGTACTGAGGTAGATACCTGTCTCTACCTGACATGGATTAGCTCCACTGGCCACGACTTCTCACTAGAACTCCAGAAATTACCTCTAGGAGCCAGTCACTAGTGAGCATATGATCGTTACCACAAGGGGGTTTTTGAAGCGAAAGGAACTGGGTTTGAGTTCCTCCCAGAGTGAACATCAAGGCAAGTACATGCAGCTGACGAGTCCCAAATAGGACGAAACACACGTCAAACTGGATTCCACTGCTGGCCACTATCTTTCTTTGCTTATAATAACACTTTAATTACTAATTATCTTTCAGGGGGGTTGAAGGAGAATCACCTAATTCCAAGCAGGTTGACCATACTGACTAAAATATAATGCTTATTCAAGTCCTCTCTTTTTTATGTAGTGGTTGAATGAAATGTTCTATCATTTTGATCATTTCGAATTTACTAGTTCGAATCAAATTATTTTACCATTCAATTACACTGTTATTGTATACTAATTCTGTTTATTTATCATTCTGTATTACGTTTCATTTTCTTCAACTTCTTTTTTTTAAAAATAACAGTGAAAAGCGTCGTGCTTCTATGGGTAATAGTACACATCATGTTAATAATGATTCATCAGATAGTGAATTTCGACGTAGATCAGCACAAAGTATTCTTGGATTTGGTATACCACAACATAATAAACATTTATATAAATCTGGATTAACAAATGCCTATCCAGATGATATTAATATAAGACGAGCTAGTGAAGGTATTGCTTTGTTGAATAATGATAAAACATCACCTCAACATAACAATAATGATACCATTACTACAGCTAATAATAATAAGAATATTCATTCCGAGACTAATTCAATAAATCTTAAACCTCATCAGAATGAATCAACTGATCTTCAAATGGATTCAACAAATCATGATTTACCATCCAATACTATTACAGGTAATTATCTTTAATATTGTTTGATGAGTGTGAGAGTGTGTGAGGGAGAAAAGGAAGAAGAATGATTACATTGTATGTTATATCAAATGACAAAATGTACTCCATTTTCGTTTTTTTATACAAATGTATCTATCATATTTTTTCTTGAAGGGGTTTTGTGGAGATTTCAGTATTTTTCATGGTTAAAATCATGAGTCAATTGAAGCTAGACCAACATGGAACACCTGGAAGCACTGCTTTAAAGCCGTTTCGTCCTATTATGGGACTCCTCAGTAGTGTGCATCCACGATCCCGCCTCACAACAATCCAACCGAGGACCTACCAGTTCCGCGCCAGAGCTCTTAACCGATAGACCACTGAGGTGGCATACGATAGTATTAATGACTAACTTCAACCAATCCACGAAGTTTGAGAAACCGTTCACCAATTGTCCTCAGTGAGTTGTTATCTCACAACAGGCCTGGTTGAACTCCACTGGTCAATGCTTCTCACTAGAACTCCAGGACATATATCTGGAAGTCAGTCCTGGGTTCAAATCTCGCTCGCGAGGCGGAATCGTAGATATGCACTGCTGAGGAGTCCCATAATAAGACGAAACGGCCTTAAACAGTGCTTCCAGGTTTTCTCATGGTGGTCTAGCTTCAATTGACTCATGATTTCAACTATGAAAAATATTTTTTTCTGTTTTTTTTTCCGTTTCCAATCGTAATTAATAGCACTTATGAGTTCATTGAATAAGGGTTGGGTTGCTTGTTTACAATCTGTAATATATTCATGTTTCAGATTGATAACACCTTAAGAAATCAATTATAATAACTGTTTTATCTAACATAGCCTTTGACTTTCGTCATTAGCCTGATAACTTAACATCATTCCGTTGGAATTCATGATAAACTCTTGTAGTTCTATTGAAAAGTCCATTGATAATAATCAATGACGATCTTATGTTCAAAAACTATTTGGATCTCAAACTCATTAATGTGCTCAATGTGAGATCTGAACATTCTGATTATCATCACTAGTAAGAATCCATAGGTTCATATAAGTGAATATTTTTCTATTTAGAGCTAAAGTATTATCTAATCATCTTTACTTTTTTCATCAGTTCAGTATTTTACATAGTTCATCTTTTAAATTAAATTCAATACTTACAATCCTTCCAATTTCATATATTACACGTACCCGTTTTGTATAAATATAAGCCTACTTAAGTATTTTTCTGTTTGTTTATTATTATTATGTAATGTAGACCCTTTAATTTATAATAACTGCTAACTGATGTTTGTGTTGTTGTTTAGAATAGATAATCCTTTATATATTAGCTTAGACATTATTATTATTCTTATTGTTTTCATAGTTGAAAGCGTAAGTCAATTGAGCCCCCAAATGCCCTGGTACGGTCGAGAGTGGGGAGAGTTTGCTCTCCCTCTCCAAATGCTCTCACATGGCCAGCGAATATATAGCCTCCATCAGGGAAGTCCTACTCACTGCCTTCTCGTGGCGGGGGTGTTGTTTACGAAATTGAACGGACGAAAAGCGAATGTCCGGCGCTTTAACCGGGTTGGTGGATGTGGAGGATCCACCTAGGGGAGTTGGAAAACCCTGATTCCAAACCAATGGTGCACATGGGCTCCAATATCCTGAAGGAACGAATGGCGTACGAATCAATCGTTGATCACCGGCTACCATGGGAATGCATCTCCTCACGATGTTCCACTGCCTTGTGGATCAGACCTTTAGGTCAAAGGCTCCGGGTGTGGGCCCCTAAGAAAACCACCTGCTTGAGTTTGGGCACCTGGGCAGTATCACAGACCACACACAAATCAAATGAGATTTGTGAGGTGCATATTTATCTGGTGCACGTTTGTACCAATATTTATGTGTTTGAATAAATAAATATAAGTCAATTGAAGCTAGACCACCAGGGAAAACTTGGAAGCACTGTTTTAAGGCTGTTTTGTCTTATTGTGGGACTCCTCAGCAATGCGCATCCACAACCTCGCCTTGCGAAATTCGAACACAGGACCTACCAGTCTCACGCAAGAGCACTTAACAACTATGAAAATACTTAATCTTCACAAAAACCCCTTCTGATAATATTATTATTGTGAAAAGCATAAGAATATACACTAAATTAAAAATTACTAGTCAAAATTGAAATATTGATTGTTAAATATTGAAGACGATTTGTAGATCAGGTAGATGATTTTGATGATTTTTCATCAGCACAAACCTCGGGCGGATATCGTTCAGAAGAATGGTGAAAGCTCTATGACCGAACCATCCAGCCCAAAGAACAAAACTTCATCAAAATATTGATTAGAAGGGGGTTTTGTGGATATTTCAGTATTTTATTAATTGAAATCATGAGTCAATTGAAGCTAGACCACTATGGAAAACCCGGAAGCACTGCTTTAAGGCCGTTTCGTCTTATTATGGGACTCCTCAGCAGTGAGCATCCACGATCCTTTTCAGTGCTTTCAGGTTTTCCATGATGGTCTAGCTTCAGTTGATTCATGATTTCAACTATGAAAATATTGATTGTAACTATTTTTTTTAACCCTTACCTGTTCTTTGTATACGTCTCAACTAAATTATGATGTGATACCTTTCATGGACTATGTTACTAATGTTATGGATCATAGATTAGAGAAGAAACTCATTCAGCTTTTGAAAGGTCTGGAACATCACACAGCTGAAAGCAAATTTCCAACTGACTCTAAAAGGTATGTCCATAATTTCTCGGATATCGAACTGGATAACGATAAACTAGAGGTATTATCCTAAGGTCTAAAGTTTTGTGATACCCGTAATAATTGTAACCACATAGATACCGATATACAGTTTGAGAATCTATGCAGCCAGACACGTGATTTAGTGGCTAATTCTGATCAACAACTGGAGCACTATACTCTTGTGGACTGTTGCTACCAGTATAAAAACAATAAATTTAATTACAAAAGTATTCTTACAAAAAGGCATAAGGAAGCTATTAACGTACTCCTAAAAGATGGAACGTTATTGATTACGAAACCTGACCAAGGTTCAGGAGTGGTTCTTCTCAATAAAAACGATTATATTGATAAAATGGGGACCATCTTAAATGACAAATTGAAATTTCAAAAATAACTAACCATAAAGATCGCAATATGAAAATAGAGATGGAGCTTACTAGTTCTTTGAAGAAGCTCAGAGACAACCAGACTATTTCGTCTGATATAATGATTAAACCAGTTGGAACCTATCTGCCAAGACTGTATGGATTACCAAAGGTACACAAACCGGGGATCCCATTAAGACCTATTTTAGATATGTATAACTCTCCTTATCATACTATAGCTAAATGGTTGGTAACTTTATTGAAACCTCTCCACGAAAAGCTGGTAAAACATAGTGTTAAGGATGTATTTCAATTTGTTGATAAAGTAAAAAATGTCAATACTTTGAGACTAAAGATGATGTCTTTGGATGTAACATCACTATTCACGAATGTCCCACTTCTTGAGACCGTAGAATATATAGGGGAACAACTGATTAAAAATAAAATTGAAACTACAGTTCCGATTAATGTTATTACTGAAATGCACCATGAATGTAAATTTCAAATTCAACGGTGAAATATTTAGACAAACAGATGGTGTGGCAATGGGTTCACCTCTAGTCCCTATACTAGCTGATATATTTCTAGCTAAACTAGAGAACGGCCATTTGAAAAAGATTATTCAAGAATTCAAATTTTACTGCAGATATATGAATGACACATTCATCCTGTGTAAAGATAATATTTCACAACAAGATGTGCTTAGGCAGTTTAACGAAGTGCATCCAGTCATCCAGTTTACATTGGAGGAAGAGAGTGATGGCCGATTAGCCTTTTTAGACGTCCTCTTAACTAAGAGATCAGATGGATCGTTAAGAAGAAACATGAACAGAAAAAGTACTTGGACTGGTCAGTATACACACTTCCTTAGCTTTGTACCTCTACAGTACAAACGAAACCTAATCAAAACCCTTAGCTATCGAATGCGCACTATATGTTCGGCGGATGTAGTTGACAATGAGCTAAACACATTGCATAATGCTCTAAGGGAGAACGGGTATCCCAGAAAATTTATAATTAAATATATGATCTTTAAAGTGAAATAGGCAAATTCCAAACGGTCAAGAAAAAGTTCTTCAAACGGTGGAGGCAGTAGCCATCAGAATAAAGAAACCAGAGCTATGTGTACAGAAGAAATATCTCCAACCCTTACTTCTCCCTTGGCCAACCACAAGGCCAATTAATGAACAATCACCTTAGCTATTGTATGACCTAATTTGACTATGTACTTACGACCTTTCGTAATCAAATGTAATTGTCTCTCTTATTTTTATTCACAAATCTTTGTATTTTATTATTATTATTGTTTAAATATCATTATTAATCCCCCCTAAACATGATTCATTCACATCGCATTGATCCCTCTTTATTACGTCTTACTAATATTTCACACAATTTAGTCTTCCACTTGATCGAATTGTAATTGCACTATCATATCTCTCTCTTAACCTATTTGACCCATATTTATATTCTGATCACAGATCTTAAATTTTCACTTTACATATATATACAGATTCAAGTAGTAACATTCCATATAAGTCGCTATCAACATTAACAATTTTATTCTATTTGATTTGACATTCCTAAATTTACATGCATTAAACAATGTACTTTACTTTTAACTTGGTCACTTTTATTCAGATTATTAATATGGATATATGAATTGTAGAACCTGGGAAGAGAATTTATCGAAAAGAATATTCTTCGTTCAAATATTAGTCTTTTAATTCATAGATTTATTTCAAAGTTGAAATCATGAGTCAATTGAAGCTAGACCACCATCGAAAACCTGGAAGTATTAGACGGCCGTTTCGTCCTATTATGAGACTCCTCAGCAGTGCGCACCCACGATCCCGCACTCGCGAGATTCAAACCCAGGACCTATCAGTTACGAACCAGAGCCCTTAACCGATAGACCACTGAGATTTATTGTAAATCTAATTGGACAGTTGTTTTTTTATTAGACTGAAACGAATAAAAGTTGTGCTCTTTTTTTCAACTCGTTTTCCTTTTTTCTTTCATTCTTTCTTTTAACTTTCTTAATTGTCTATCTATCTACCTTTTTTTTCTTACTCTATCCTTTACTTATTATTATCCTTCTTATATTTACTACACCAACATAATAACTGTGTCAAGATATGATTTATTGTTTTGTCTATATGCATGGCTATTGTATTTCCCCTCGTGTTTTTCATATATTCACTTAGTAGATTCTTACAAATAGTCTCATACATCTTTTCTATGAATGAACAAACTTTCATAGATTTACATAGCATAAAAAAACAGTAGGGTCTAAAACATGTGAGCTTATTCGATATTTATTATTCCTTTGTATTCTATATTCATGGCTAAGGCTATCAAAGAAAGATAAATTGAATAAGGTTTGTGTACCCTTTGAAAGATGATTCTTTTCTAAAGTTAGTTTTTTTTAGTCACAAAGTTAATGTTCGGCTCTGAGTCTATGAAAGTCATTCAGTCAGTTTCAATGTAGGATCAGGCACATATATGCATCGGTCCAAGTTGCCATACCTCACTTATTAGCACAACAAGATGAACACCGAATTCATAGAAGTAGTTAATTTAGTGGTGGTAATATAGAAAAGAAAGGTTGTATATAAGGATATAGTGCAGGAAGGAAGACAGATATAAAGCAATTTTAATCTCAAGGTTTAATGGAAGATAAAGAGTGTATACACCTACACCATTGTGATCGATTCTGAGCCATGTCACCTAGAGTCTCCAACCATTGGTTACGATATTCACGCAGACCCCAACCAAATAGTCTATATCTACCAACATGGCTCAGACTAGAAGTTAGTGATTTCAACGACTGATGTCACGTTTTGGTTTGGCCGCCCCCCGATTGACGTTAGACCACCATTGAAAACCTGGATGCATTGGACGGTCATTTGGTCCCATTATGACACTCTTCAGCACTTCGCGTCAATGATCCCGCCCGCGGGATTTTAAAAAAATAAGTTGATGAGATCCGTTGATAATCAATAATCATTATTGAAGTCAGGATTTTTGTAATATCTCTATAAGGTTTTGTCAATATTATTTAGCATTCATGGCTTAAATCATCATAAACTACATGTTTAACTGCAATCATTTCATATTATTGCTTAACTATTTTTCTTTTACCTGTAGTAATACATTCCTCTAAATGTAAAAAATCTACATTAATTTATATTTACAGTTCTATCATTATGGTACTGTCTTTGTCCATTACATATGTCTATGAATCGATTTCACAATGGAATATCTATTATCTTTCATTGTAGTAAAACTAATTTAAAGTGATCATTGTCTGATTATTTGTTGTTTTGCCTTACATTTCTCTATATTATAATTCACTATTTTCGTTTTTTCTTATCAATGAAATGAGGTTAAACTTTGAAGTATTATGTTATCCAAATGGAATGATAAGTTGGAATGTTGTAGTTTTTCTATCTAGATTATGTTATAATGAATGATTTGGACAATACATTTTATACTAAATATACAAGCTCGTTTGGCTTTTGCCAACTTACGTCACCTATGGCGAAGGCAAGATATCCGTCTATCAATTAAGGGACGAGTATACTGAGCAGCAGTTCGCTCTGTTCTACTTTACGGCTGTGAAACATGGTCATTAATAGTAGAAGATACTCGCAAGTTACTAGTATTTGACTACAGATGTCTTAGAAATATTGCTTTCATCTGCTGGGATCACTGAGTAAGTAATAGTGAGGTTAGATGCCAGGGTATTAGGGAAATGATGGTAAATCAGTTGATGAGGTCATGAATCTTCATCGACTGAAATGGTTAGGTTACGTGTTACGTATACCTGAACGGTGATTATCACGACGCGCTATGCTGACTAGTATTGGGGATGGTTGGAAGAGAGTTAGGGGCGGCCAATCCAAAACGTGACATCAGCCCATAAAGTCACTAACTTTCGTATGAGCCATGCCGGTAGATGCAGACTACTTGGTTGGGGTCCGCGTGAATATCGTAACTAATGATTAGTGACTTTAGGTGACATGGTTCAGAAGCGATCACAATAGTGTAGGTGTATACACTCTTTATCTTCCATTAAACCTTGAGATTAAAATTGCTTCATATCTGTCTTCCTTCCTGCACTATATCCTTATATACAACCTTTCTTTTCTATATTACCACCACTAAATTAACTACTTCTATGAATTCGGTGTTCATCTTGTTGTGCTAATGAGTGAGGTATGGCAACTTAGACCGATGTATAAATCCAGTTGATTAGTGGTAAATAATACATTTAAGTAAGAATTGATAGATACTGATTTCAAGGCTCAGTGTAAATACCAACAACACTGGGATGTAAATACATTCAAATAAATTAGATGAGTTGCTCATCTTAAATTCCATTATTAGTCACAGTCAAAAAATCAGTTGAATAGTCTACATTCATTTGTTATGTTCACTCAGTTTATTCCCTTTCTTTTTAACCATTCTTCATTATTATGTTCGCCTGTCTCCTTTTAATGTTTCACTCATTATTCTCTCTTTTTATATGATTATGTAAGTAGATTTTCGTTAAGGTCTTTTTAGTACATATATATAAATATACTATACTACTTATTCATTGTTATTTCATTAGGTTTTTCAAAAGATCAATCAACACGACGGTCTGTACGTATACATGTTGATACTAAACCAGAATATATACCGGAATTATCAGAGATAAATACAGATTCTGTGAGTTATATCATCGATAAATGATAATGTAATCAATAGTTATTATGAAAGTTTTGATGATAAAATTATATTAATGACATTTTTATCACTTTTCTGATTGGTATTCTTGATTAAAAATAAAGTAGATGTATCCATTAATAATGTCTAACATTACATGAACATTATGTAATTTCAGTTATTCTAGTACAAACGAGGCCTCCAAATGCCATGGTACGGCCGAGAATGGGGAGAGTCCGGTATCCCTCTTGAAATGCTCTCACATGGCCACGGGTATATAGCCTATGCCAGGGAAGTCCTAATCACTGCCTTCTCGTGGCACTACTGTTGTTTGCGAAATTGAGAGGATGAAAAACGAATATCCGACACTATAACGGGGTTGGTGGACACGGCGATTCCACCTAGGGGAGTTGGAAAACCCTGATTCCAAACCAATGGTGCACATGGGCTCCAGTATCTTGAGGGAACAAATGGTGTACGCATCAATCATTGGTCACCGTCTACCATGGGAATGCATCTCTTCACGATGTTCCACTGCCTTGTGGATCAGACCGTTAGGTCAATGCTCGGGGTGTGGCCCTCTAAGAAAACCCTGCTTGAGTTTTCGCACCTAAATAGTATCCCAGCCCTCATATAAATTAAATGAGATTTGTGCAGCGCATATATATCTGGTGCTCTCTTGTACCAATATTTATGTCTTTAATTAAAATAAATAATAATAGTACAAACGAAAGTATTTAAATGTATGCTTTTCAATTAGTTAGCAACAGTTCAATTTTCGATCAATGAATTATGTGTTCGAACATTTACTAAGACAACTTGAACTGACTGACTGATTGACATATTTCATTGAGTAATATGAGTAGACAGTGAAGAACAATTTCTCTGTACTATAGAATCTTACATGTGTGATACTTTTCAAGTTTCAATATATTTGGACAGCAAACATGTATACTTATTTTGTTCCGAAATCTTTAACTAAGGTAGAACCTGTTTCCCATATAGATACATTGATAACACCTAAGACAATGAATTCAGCTAATAACAAATAGGTTGAATTATGTTTACAATATTTTGATAAGTGGAATAAAAGGTAGTGTATTGAAACAATCACAGATGGTTATGGTAAAAATCTTTCAGGCTACTTTGAATTTAGTCGTACATATAGTGTAGAGTAAGTTTATAAGAACAAAGGATAGTTGGAATTACTAAAAATACATATTATTTGATCAGCATGAGGTCATCAACTTGAGTATCGTTTTTGGTCGTGATTAGCCAGAAAGGTGTGTTTGTTTTCCCCTTGTGTCTTGGAGTAGTCACTGTCTACCAGCTTGATGGATGGATTTCTTTCTAAGACAAATGGCTGTATGTTCATTACAAAAATGATGTTTTTAGAAGCTTTCGTTATCAAGTTACTAGCAGTCATCTCTGAATTATTTTAATTGCTAGTTAGCTGATGTAGTAAAGACACTCATATTGGGTAGTTATTCGTAATTCTGAAAGCACAAACTGCACTCTTTTTAATCACAACCAATTCAAACATTTTACATATCAACTATTTTTTGGCATAAGTTTGTAATGTGAACTGTTGATAAGATCACTTTCCATCGATGGAATATGGCTAGCAGTAGAACTCAAAACGTACATTTCTTCCTATGTGAAACTCGTCAGTTGGTTATGTTGGACTTTTGAAACAAAAGATACTGGGTTCAAAATTCAGAGTGAATGTTAACTCAAATTGAAGTTTATCGTTTTTGATAAGTCCAAATTGGATGAAAAGTATGTTCTGGATTCCACTACTAACAACATTCTATCTTAAAAAAAATGAAAATAAATACCTTAGAGACATTTACATCATGAAGTGAGTAGGACTTCAATGGGAGAGGCTATATATATGTGTGACCATTTGAGGGCATCTTGATAGAGAGAGAACGGACTCTCCCCACTTTCGGCTGTACCAGACCGTACAAGACATTTCAATATTCTCGATACTTCTAATGTTTCTTGACTTTCATGAATTGTAAAATTAAAAATATCTTTATAAACTCCTATAGTACTTACATTTTTAATCATTACCGACTATATATATTCTTAACATTTTTCTTTTTATAGTCAGAAGTTTTTCTGAAAGATGTCGACAGTAAATACACTATCAATGAACATATAGACAATCATCTTATTCATAAAGTCAAAAGTGTCACCACAGATGATGAATTGAATAAATCTATTGAAATCAATGATATAACAACAACAACAACAACAACAATGGAGTCTTCATCCAATCTATGTCATTGTTTCTCTATTATTTGTATACATCAAACAAAATTTAGTCTATTATATGCATTATTAAAAACTTATGGTAAAACATTATTATGGTCAGCATTCTTAAAATTATTATATGATATTCTAGTATTTGTCAATCCTTTATTATTAAAGTAAGTTGGGATTTTCTTTTTTTTTGTTTTTGTTTTAATTATTGAATACAATTTATATATATTTGGTTAGAAAAGTAGTTTTGTCCTGGTACGGTCGAGAGTGTGGGGGAAAGTCCGTTCTCTCCCTCTCTCTCAAAATGCTCTCATATGACCACGCGTATATACAGCCTCTACAAGAGAAGTCCTACTCACTGCCTTCTCGTGGCGGGGGGGGGTTGTTCACGAAATTGAGAGGACGAAAAGCAAGTTTGTGGACACGGCGGGTCCACCTAGGGGAGTTGGAAAACCCTCATTCTAAAACAATGGTGCACATGGGCTGACTCCAGTATCGTGAGGGAATCAATCGTTGGTCACCGTTTACCATAGGACAGCATCTCCTTACGATGCTTCACTGCCTTGTGGATCAGATCTTCATATCAAAGGCTCCGGGTGTGCCCCCCTAAGAAAACCACCTGTTTCGGTTTGAGCATTTCGTCAGTATCACAGACCACACATAAATCATTTGACTTGTGTGGTGCATATGTATTTGCTGCCCCTTTGTATCAATACTTATGTGTTCAAATGAAAAAATAAAATATTTACCAGATTATATGAAAAGAATACCGAAAATAAACATGAATAAAAATAATCGGTTAAGTGCTTTGGCGCGAGACTGGTAGGTCATGGGTTTGAATCCTGCCAGTGTGGGACAGTGGATGCGCACTGTTGAGGGGTCCCACAATAAGTCGAGACGGCCGTCCAGTGCTCCCAGGTTTTCCACGGTGGTCTCATAATTTCAATTATATATAAAAATAATTTACTTATAGAAAATAATGATGATAACAAGAATAGTGTTAAGACCTAGAAATGATGGGTCTCATTTCATGGATTATCAATATGTAAGTGTTGGAATAAATCTTTGTATATTAAAACTAATTCTGTTTACAATCTTATAATCATTATGAGAGTTTTAATTGATTGATCTTAACTATTTTAACATTCAAAGATTAGATTTATATAACACCTTTCCCATTCAATCTTTAATATTTATTGCTGAATATATCTTGAATGTGAACATTGGCTATTGTCAATGTTATGTTAAGTGATAGTCTTCATACTATCAAAGGTCCATTTAGCAGTCCTCTATGTAAATTCGATTTCTAATAAGAACTGTTACTAGATAACTGACATTCTAGTTGATAAGAAATGTGGTAGACTAGAGAGGAATTTACACATAGTATCATTCCACTATATGGTAACACATAGCTTCTTAAGATCATATCGAATCAGTTGATGATTAGTGTTGATAACTAGATGTTATTTATGCTATTCACATACACCATACTCCTCTAATACTGATGGAAACTTGTGTTTGGCTTCATTCTTTATTAGTTATCAACAGGATGACTGTTTAAGATTCATTAAACTTTCTAGACATGGTAGTAGCTAGAGCTAATTAAAGTAGTTTGGCTTTTACTCTTTCTTTCAATAACTTCAATGCTTTCGTGCTACATGGAACTTGACAATAAAATATATCTGCAGCCTTTAAGAGTTATGGTGCCATTTTAAACCATTGAGTGATTATGTCTCTAATTTTTGAAACTGAGTGATGTGTTTTTGGTTTGTCACACTCACAAGTGGCAACTAGCACGAAAGTTAAACCATCATCGTCCTACTACTTATAGCCTATCAACCTGACTATCATCCAAAATATAGTTACTGATGTGCATTTCCTTTCATCCTATTTGTTTTCCCTTCCTTCAGACTTTTATTATTATTATTTTTTGTGTTTAAAATGTTTTATAGGTTATTATTAAATTTTCTACAAAATATTCAATCAGAACCAATATGGCATGGTTATTTATATGCTATAGCAATATTCATCGATACAACTGTACAATCATTAATATTACAAAGTTACTTTCATATTGTATTTAAACTTGGTATGAATATTAAGACAGCGATTACTGCAGCTGTATACAGGAAAGTAAGTTAATATTCATTGACTATATGTTTAAAATTCTTCGTGTAAGCAGGAATCGAATTCAGGCTTTACATCCATAACGAAGTCAAATGTTTAATCACAGCCATGTCATGAACACTTACATTTTTCATATATACTGGTTTATTGCGAATTCATAAAATTCTCTATGTTTGGTCATTTATAGGGTCTTGAATGTGTAGAGCTTAGAAGTTTCATACAATAGTGAAAAACTTTCCAGCACTTCCTAGTTTTCCATGTTTTTCTATCTATAGCTAATCCAGGTGGAAACATTCACGTACCTGGGAAGCATCGTTGATAAACAAGGAGGATCGGATGCAGATGTAAAGGCAAGGATTGGCAAAACAAGGACAGCATTTCTACAATTTAAGAACATATGGAACTCAAAACAACTCTCAACCAATTTCAAGGTCAGAATCTTTAATACGAACGTCAAGACAGTCCTACTGTATGGAGCTGAAACATGGCGAACTATTACATCTATCGTCAAGAAGGTACAAGTACTTATAAACAGTTGTCTACACAAAATACTCAACATTCACTGGCTGTATACTATCAGCAACAGCGTTTTATGGGAGAGGACAAACCAACTTCCAGCTGAAGAGGAAATTAGGAAAAGACGTTGGAAGTGGATCGGACATACATAAGGGAAATCATCAAACTACATCATGAGGCAATCCCTAACTTGGGATCCGGAAGGGAAGCGGAAAAGAGGAAGGCCAAGAACACACTATGTCGGAAAATTGAAGCGTATATGAAGAGGGCGTATGTTAACTGGAAATAACTGTAAAGGAATGCCCATGACAAGGTTGGGTGGAGAATACTGGTGGGTGGCCTATGTTCCTCCACAAGGGGTCACAGGCGTAAGTTAGTAAGTAAGTAAATGGCTAATCCAGAGTGTAAGAGAAATTCCATGCTGAAAATCATTTCTTATTCGATTTTAGAGTCTACGATTAAGTAATAAAGCTCGATATCAATCAACTACTGGACAAATCATGAATTTAATGTCATCTGATGCACAACAATTTGTTCAATTAATGCCATTTATAAACATTCTATGGTCGGGACCATTTCAAATAACCATTGCTATGATATTACTATGGAGAGAATTGGGGCCTTCTGTATTGGCTGGTGTTGGTGTTCTACTATTACTTTTACCAGTCAATGTTTTAATAGCACGTCGATCAAAAGTTTTGCAAGTAAGTTGACTTAATGTAACTCATTTAATGTTAAAGTAATAACATATTTCAAACCAGTTTTTTTTTATTTAATACATAGCTATTGGTTGATCCGACTGGATCCATTTGTGCTATTTGTTTTCTGTATTTTATGGTGTTGTAGTGATTATAAAATTAGAATGTTTCTCAACACAACCTGATTTTGGTTAGACAGGCGTTTAAAATCGGGAGACAAATTAACCTTTAATTGAATATAGGACTCTTTAACACTCACAATTCCACATAAACTCGTGGATTGATTGAGGTTAGATATTAACACCTTTAAATAACGACTCAGTTATCTAGAGTTTAAACGTTTGCGCGCGAGATCGAAGGTCCTCAGTTCACTTCCTGAGTGACAGGTTGTTAATCCTCACTTCTGAGGAGTCCCAGGGTGGGACGGCCATTCAGTGCCTCTAGGTTCTCAATAGTAGTTGAGCTTCGATCAATTCATGATTTCATTTTAAAAAAATATATCCCTTTCGTTTGTGAATGCAACTCAATTGTCTCATTTACTCTATCATACGATTTATTCAACATGACAAAATGAAAATAAAATGTGAATATAACAAACGTACCCCCTATCTCTCTCTCCTAGTCAACCTGACCCTGATTCACATGAAATAACCATACAGAGATTGTACATATTTTAATGATATGTCTGCCTAATGTCACCTCACATGTCAACTCACATGTTTAGTGAATGAATGAATAAATGATCATGATAATAAATCATCATATTTGATCAATTGACCTTACTCTCTCTCTCTCTCTCAATATATTTTTTTATTGTCAATGTACTATTAAACGTTAGTCGCACGTAGATAAAAAGGTCAATTGAAGTACACTTTGAAATGTGTATTTTTATACATAAATGAATTATGAATATTTTCGATTCATTGAAATTTTTTTTATATACAAAATATGAATGAAACAATGTTAATTCATAATCGTCATCACTAACTATTGCAGGATCATGGATGTTCACTGTTGAGGAGTCCCACAATAGGACGAAAAGACCATCTAGTGTTTCCAGGTTTTCCATGGTGGTCTAACTTTAATTTGATTCATCATCTCAAATACTAAATTTATTATAATATCCACAAAACCCCTTCTGATATTAATATACTTTTGTTTGAGTCTTCCCATTGATGTTTAGGACTGAAATTGATCAGTCTATCTCTTATTGTCACATGTGCATACTGTGCTTATTGCCTCGATATAGCCTTAATTCATAAGCATTATAAGCAAAAATGGATAGTGTCTAGCAGTGGAATCCAGTTTGACGCGCTTTTCGTCCTATTTCAGACTCGTCAGCTATCAGGACTCAGTAGCTGAGTGGATAACGCGATGACGTTTCAAGCGAACGGTACTGGATTTGAGTCCTAGAGTGAACATTAACTCTGAGATGCTTCGACTAATTCTTCATCTCGCCACTTTATTTCGACAACTTGGGTCGAAATACATCTATATTAAGCTCTTTGTTGTTTATGATTAATTGAGCAATTTTGTACTGACCATTTTTGTATCCATTCACTGTAATTAGACCGTAGAGGTACTGAAAACAAGGTAAATTATGTAGCCGTTTTCTTCCTAGTTTATGATTACTACTCACTCACTACGCACTCACAAGCCTACCACGAATTAAAACCCGAATTTGTCAGTCTTAATGGTGGTGAGAATCAAACTGTAATAATCAAGTGATCCTTACCATTAAGTTCAGTCAATTTGCGATGTACTGCTTTAGTTATTCAATGCTGTTGGTAATATTTCGTCTCATTTCGACCCTATCAAACTCAACCCATCATGAATATATCTTGAATTTAATTATTAGAGTACGCACCTTGTATAGGTTATTTTCGTCACTGATTGATCTCAGTTAAGGTAGCATTGAAAACCAGGGAGCACTGAATAATTATTTCGTCTGAGTATGGGACCCCTTAGCAGTACTCTCGTTTGATACCGCCTTCGATCGGACCCGTGAATTTTAGGTCACTCTGCAAACGCTTGACCATTAGAGCCAATGGGTCGGCGCCCAGTTTTACAATTACAACTTCAATCGATTAGCGATAATGATCAACAGCCATCAAGTTTTATTTTTTACTACTGTTTCACTCCCAACATCCTGAATACCATTCGTCATGAATTTTAAGTTGGTCTTCGGGAAAGTCATGAAGTGTGGTGACTACAGTAGTTAAGGGGAAGGGATTTTTAGGATATTAGTTCAATTTACAGGCTGTATCTGTCAAAAGTGGTGTAGGTGCACACTGATGAAGCGTCTCATACTAGAATTCAACAGCTGTTCAATGACAACTAATTTGCAGTGGTACCTCAGCAGAAACTAATCTGTGACGAATACAACTTACAAATAAAATCAGTCTCCATATCAGCTCTTCAACAACAATGAATATATTTATTGTTTAGTAGGTTGGTTAGCAGAGACAAGTTTATTACGGTTTGTTATCAGCTTGTGTTTCTCATAAAACAAAGGTTATTACATCATTTGCAATCATGAAATCTCTTTGTTTACATAATACTAGATATAATTTAGTGACTAGATATATTGATAATTAGACAGGATTTATTTCGTTCGGTAGGCATAATTACGTCATTATGAAATATCTGTATCTTTTATCAATAAGAGAGCTATTTCTACTCATCATGCTTGGGTGAGATTTACATTAAATATGAAGGAAATGAAAAGTTTATAACCGTGATCAAGTTTCAACTGAACTCCAATAGTTAAATATATATTACAAAGATCTATTTAGGAAATCATCAGAAATACATATGGTTCCTTCAGCCCATCAGCATCATAGTAACATTGATGGACAAACTAGGATGGATTTTCATAGTTGAAATCATGAGTCAATTGAAGCTAGACCTGAAAGCACTGCTTTAAGGCCGTTTTGTCCTATTATGGGACTCCTCAGGATGTGAAATTTGATGTCCTTCTTCGTTACTGTTTAAATATCAGATGGTGGTACCATTGAAGACGAAGTAGCAATGGACAACTATCACTCAGAATAAAGCTTATCATCCTCACCTTTTAATCTCATTCAGCTGTAATCCATGAGGTTACATTTGCAGACTATATAAATTGGCGATATACCATGGTATCATCCATTGTTAGTTTCTAAAATTAGACATCAGTCATAAATTTTCATTGTAACGTTTATCTTTTCTCGAGGTCAGTCACTAGTAAGCAAACAATAATTGTTACATTACAAAGTCTTTGTATAAATAATTATTCACCGAAAATTCGTAAACCTCTCGTACAATTCAATAGCTGATATTCAATTTAACATTTCTTCCACCATTAAGAGAAATAGTTTACAGATTCGATTGTTTGATGCCAATCGTATTTACAGGACGTTATAAGTCTTACTACATGTTTTCTTGAAATTCTTTGTTCTGGTACTGAACCAAAATTCTCCATCAAAGGTTCTCACTCCCATTACAGTTACTCAATTATATGAAGGGGGTTTTTGTGAAGATTTAGTATTTTCATAGTTGAAAACGTAAGTCAATTGAAGCTAGACTACCATTGGAAACCTGGAAGCACTGCTTTAAAGCCGTTTCGTCCTATTATGGGACTCCTCAGCAGTAAGCATGCACGACCCCGCCGCGCGTGATTTAGACACAGGACCTATCAGTCTCGTGAGTAAGCGCTTAACCACTAGACCACTGAGCCGGCATCCGATGCTGTTAATGTCTAACTTCAACCAATCCACAAAGTTTGAGCAATCGTTCACCAATTGTCTTCAGTGAGTTGGTATCTCACAACAGACGTGGTTTGAACTCCACTTGTCATTGTTTCTCACTAGAACTCCTGGATTTACCTCTCTCTGTTATCTTTTGTATTCAACGTAGAACGTGGTTTATATATGTTTCACTCTAAGTTATCCTCCAACATATAAAGGGATTGGAAATGGGAAAACTTACTGATGCATAGTGTGAATGCATTTAATGTTGAAACAAATCCGTTAAAATATCATTCTTTATCTTAATTTTGTGTTTTCAGTGTTTCTAATAATTTTCTCTCATGATGATATTTACTTAGGAGAAGAAATCTTCATGTGCAGATAGTCGAATAAAGTTTATTAACGAATTGATGAATGGTATACGAGTAAGTATTATTTTCACAAATATGTTATTTTGTTTCATAAAATTAACAATATATAATCGTTAACCTACGATATTTGTGGTTGCACATTGTTCCCTTTTTCTTCCATGTTTTCAAAATTGACCTGGAAACTGTTGAATAACAGATTCACTGAGTAGCGTTTAGAAGATCAATGAATTTGTGAATTGTTTTTTATGTGTTTATAACCTCAATACAAAAAACGGTTCGAAGACAACTTTTAAACATGCAATATCACTTCTCTCTGATGAGCGTTCCATATCCCACCAAATTCCTAGGTCGTCTTGAAAATTATGGTTAATCGCTTGCGTAGAATGTCAGTAACATATGCCTGAATGTAAAGGTCCCGGTTAGCACGTGAATCTAATCGACCTTCTTTGATTTCTCTATTTTAAGTTTCATTTATATACGTAATAAATATAAGCTATGACTATTGCAATGTAATGTCCAGGGACTCCTCGAATACTATACATATTCTAGAATGTCAATCTAACTAGAAATACCCTTTTTGACATTTAAAGAAAGCTTCATTGTAGGTCTTTGTTTCTATATTTTATTGTTGGTAAAAGTTAAATATTGAACGTCATTAATTCATTCAGTTATCTCTGCTAGATAGTAGTGGTATACCATCTGAATTATTCCATAATATGCTCATCACTCTAATCAGATACAGAATACTATTGCCTAGGTAATACTTCCCAATTGTCGGCGTTATGGAAGCTTGTTTTGTTCTGAGAGCTCAAAAAACAACAACACTGGATTCACGAAGGCTTTCAATAGTTGAAGATTGTTATCTATTTCGTTATCGATACTCTTAACAAGGTGAAAGACTAAGTTTTTTCGAAGAAGTCCATGAATATATATATATATATTTTCTTTTTGATTGTTTCCATTTTGTAAAGGTATTAAAACTTTATGCTTGGGAACCATCATTTATGAAAGAAATTGGTCTTATTAGAGATAAAGAAGTTAAATATTTAAGAAGATTTACATATTTTCAATCTTTATCATTTTTATGGCATTGTACACCATTTTTTGTAAGTAATTAATTGCATTTTTTATTGTCATTTTATTTTAATCATACTCTTTAAATAGATTGTATTGTTATATCTTCGTGGATTGATTGAAGTTAAACACTAACACCATCGAATGCCGGCTTAGTGGTTTAGTGGTTAAGCGCTCTGGCGCGAGACTGATAGGTCTTGGGTTCGAATATCGCCAGTTTGGATCGTGGATGTGCACTGCTACTGAGGGGTACCACAATAGGACGAAACGGTCGTCCAGTGCTTTCACGTTTCCCATGGTGGTCTATAATTATTTGCTGCCAGTTTATTTATGTAATCATCATCATACCGCATAGCTGATCATTTTTTAACAACAAATTATTAGAGTAATACTCGCTTTGTATTGTAGCTGAATGTAAACTTAATCTAGTTTCAATTCTCATCAATCAAAATCGTGATATCGATTCGATCCCTAATTCAAGGTCTGGAAAGTCGGAAAAATGAAAATTTCGCAAATGTGATAAAAATGATCTTGGTGGTCTTATATTAGTAAACTAACACCAGACAATGGATTTTAAGCGTTTTTAGGCCCTAATGCTTCAGGCTGGGCTGTTTCGTTTACTACCCTATATATGTGTTGTATACAGTATAAGCTATATTGCCATGTAGAGCTGAAGGTCTTATGTGAGACTGAAGGTTCGCCATTGATATTGTTGATGGTTCGACATTGCTTTGTCAAGTTTTGCTGGCTGTATATGTGAAAAGTTGGTTTGGTGGTTAACCGATTTCATTCATACTGGTGCTTGCTTTTCAGTGTTCTCAAGGGTCATTATCACTGGAGCATTGTAAGGCATGTCTCCATTGCTAAAAGTAATGAGTTTGACTGTGGTGTAAACGGAATGAGTCAACTTTGGCCTGATCATTCTGTGCATAATTGATTTACGCAATCACTGATCGGACTAATTATACATGTGATGTTAATGAGTATATGAATGGTGCGAATGGTCTATCAAAGTGCTTGGTACCTGTGTGGTTGCGCCATAGGATTGAGCTGTACTGTTCAGATTGTAGCGTTGAAGCCTATATAGTGTCTGGTTCTGCTGTAGGGTGGGATTGAGCCGTACTGTTTGGGTTGTCACGTGGAAGTCTGGATGGTTTTTTTTTTCTTCTGAAAACCAATGCAGAAGGGGTTTTGTGGAGATTTTAGTAATTTTATATATTTGGAATCATGATTCAATTGAAGCTAGTTTATTTATTTATTTAAACACATAAATATTGGTACAAAGGGGCACCAGACATATATGCTCCACACAAACAATGAAAATGGGAAAAAAGGGATAAGATGCATTTATAAAAAAGATAAGAGTAATGGTGGGGGAAACTGAATTGTACGACCAGAATAACTCTCGCAGTTAAGCAAGTTATAACTACTCTTTATGAAGAAAGTAAAAGAAAGTTACAGCAGGATTGCCATTGGCTTCTATTCTGAGCCATATCTGATAACGTCTCTAGCCACTGTGTTGCACCATCTCTCGGACCCCAGCCAGGGAGTCATGAAGGACCAAGAGAAGCTAGCCCTTTGCAGCTCTCTTTCATGCCACGACACCACGTCATACACTGACCACCTCTCCGCTTTTTCCAAGCAGTCTCAGCGTCCGCAAATAATGCACGACGTGGAATTCTCTGGGACGACATTCGTAGAACATGTCCAAGCCACCGAAGTCGGTGTTTCAAGATGATGACACTAATTGGATTGTCGTCTCTGCACCTGAACACACGATGCTGAACCTCTGTATTACTAACATGGTGTTGCCACTGAATGTCAGCAATCCTTCGGAGATGCGCCCTGCTGAGGAGTCACATAATAGAATGAAACGGTCGTCCAGGTTTTCCATGATAGTCTAGCTTCAATTGACTGATGATTTCAACTATATATAAAATATAATAAATAAATTTAATAATTTCTGGATGATATATAGAATATTATGATTATGATTATCTTATTTTATATTTTTTCTATTAGGTGGCTATTTCCAGTTTTGGTGTATATATATTAACTTCTAATAAAAATATATTAGATGCACAAAAAGCATTTGTTTCACTATCACTATTCAATATCCTACGTTTTCCATTATTTATGTTTCCAATGATTATAAGTAATTTAGCACAAGTAAGTTTAATGAATGATTAAATGATCTAATTTAATAGAATCAATATAATGTAATTCAACTTTGAATATCGTAAAACGGTTACTTACTAACGCCTGTTACTCTTAATGAAGAATAGGTCGCCGACCAACATTCTCCAACCCACTCTGTCCTAAGCCTTCTTTTCTAGTTCTATCCAACTTTTCTTCATTCTTCTCATGTTTGTCTGTTTTGTGTAAAACTGTTATCTATAAATAATGTTAAATATATTACTTAGTTACTTACTTACTTATGCCTGTTACTCTTCGCGGAGGAGCATAGGCTAAATGTTAAATATATGAGAAAATATATTTTACTTTTTTTTGTAAGTGAAGTTTTAAACGTTTGTCTGATTTGTCACAATTGATTGATCACTGAGTGGTGACCGATGTCATGCGTGTCAAGTCCTTCTTAGTTCTGATCGAATGCTAACGATCAAGTTGCAATGTGGCCACTAGTCTAGGTGGGTCGACACTGCGTGCACTATGTTGAGATAAGATGGTGATTGGAGGTGGTCAACAGGAAATCCTGGACCTGGGTTTTGTGCTACTTGGCGGTCGTCAGCAAGGTGTACCTATAATCTTGAGGGAACTGGTGCTCCCTATATGATCTGTAGACAAGTTTTACCATGAACTAATAATAATACGAAAATATTCTAAATTGGGAAAGTCATTTCATTCTAGTTCGATTCGATTAATTGGAAAACTGAAATGTTAAAAAGTAATATCTATTATTGGATCTCAATTCAATGGAAAGTTAAATAATTGAACCTCATCTGGTATTATGAACATACACTGTATAGCGAACAATAACAAAGATGGGGACAATTGAATGTATTTGAGCACAAAATTACAGAATAACTCACTAAAATCTGATAACTATACAATAAAAAGTTTATTTGTAAACTATCAATCGATTGTCTCAATCTTGACTGTTCCTTCTTCAACGAACGGTCCATTTTCTCTAATTTCATTGTTCATGCATTTTCATACCAATTGCGCTTTATTTCAGTTCTTTTTTACTAATCTTCTACTGAAATATATCCTATGCTTGACCATCATCATATACTACTTATGAGAATATAAGTAGACCACACCACAATATCTCTACAACATTTTCAAGCTAGTCTACCATCGCGATTCTTTTCGTTGACTAAACTAAATGAACTGATGGGTAAATATCTATACCTTATCTTTTCGTTTCTTTCCTTACTAATCTTCTACTGAATTACATTCTATGCTTGATCATCATTATATATTACTTATATGGATATAAGTAACTCAAATCACACACTTTAGTGGAGACCAACATAACTATCAATGAATCATTAAAAAACTAAAGTTAACTTAATAGTTCTTCTTTAATAGTTTTTCAACTATGATTACCTTAATACCATGGTAACAAGAATCAAAATTGATATACATATTTTTTTTTCCTTTTTTTTATCTATTACAGATTACTGATTATAGCATTTTACCATATTAATTTACATGAATAATTTACATGTTAATAGTAGTCACTTATTTCATTTTTCATTTATAACATGACAGAGTGTGTGTGTGTGAGAGAGAGAGAGAGAAAAGGAAAGAACAAGCACATTTTTGGACACCAAAAAAAAAAAACGAAACACAAACAAACAAATAAAACAAGTTATTTTCAATATTTTTTTTCTCTTTTTAAGTTTTTTTATCCTTCAGTTTTTTTTTTTTTTAATTTTTATGTATTTTGTCTATTCAATATAGATGATAAGTTCAGTTTTTCTGATAAACTAGAATTTGGACAAATCATTATACATACATATACATATATGTATATATTAGGTTCTTTTTCTACATAGTGATAGTTTTGGATAAAAATAAACAAATTGTATTGTTGTATAGATTTTTCTTGTTTTATTACTACTATTACAAAATAGTATCAATATCATTATCTTATTTTACATTCTTAATTGTTTCCTATAAAAAGAAAATCATCTGGTTTCGTTTAGACACACAGACAGTATCCCAGATCTTACACATATTGAATGATTTATGTAGTGCATATTTATTTGGTACATCATCCTTGTAGCAAATAGCATAACAGCGATGCTGCCTTCCCACAAGGAGGGGTGGAGTTAGAAAAGATCGACTCTATAAAAAAAATGGCACACCTCATCTTATCTTACAGATATCCGTCTCCGTCGGTAAGGTCCCAACAAGTATGGAGCTAATACAAAAGTACCCACAAAATGGTTGTGTGTGACCGACCTCAAGCAGTTATCCCTTGGGCACTGCGGTCAAGCTCTCAGGTCATTAAGACCACTTCTAATCCAATTTTCTTTTCAGGTTCCTTTAGAAGAACCCTTCCACGGTGTGAACAACCTCTAACAGCACTCAAGATCACTGTATGCATAATCAATGTTTATATATATATAAATAAATAATAGAAGATAATTTACATCACAAAACAACTTTAGTACATACTTGTCCAATAATGAAAATTATTAACGAAGATAATCTGTTTAAATGATCTACATCATTGTGTATTTATCAATTTAACAGCTCTTTTAAAACCAGTTATATCATACATACAATATGTCAAGTCCGTCATTACACTTCAGAACACCATCTGGCTTAATTGAATAAACGTCAACCCATTGACTGAATACATCAATTGCACTTAAATGAAGCTTTTTAAAGTTATACATTGGTGTTTCATTACATTTACCGTATAGCTTAAACGTTTGTCTTTCGTATGTTATAATAGCTGTCAGAATTTACTTTTAAAAGATTAAACGTTATCATTAAAAGAAGTTTGTACAACATATGTTTTCAATTTTTCTCACTAATATAGATCACAACATAGTGAGATAAGGCGGAACTTTGATTCCTACTGTTCTTTTTAATTTTTCTCCGATGACATTATATATTCCTTTCACTCTTCTGTACTTACATAATTTTAGGATTCCTTTATTCTTCCTTTAAAAAACTAAAATGTCAGAATATTTTTTCGGTTTTCCAATCAGATGTTAATGTAATCTATCAACTGTTGAACTACATCCACTTGGTATTGTGTTGTTTGATTCTTCCCATTTATGTTTAGGGCTGCAATCAATCAGTCTGTCTCTTATCGGCATATGTGCATACTGTGCGCATCACCTTGATATAGCCTTAATTCAGAAGCATTATAAGCAAAGATGGGTTGTGGCTAGCAGTGGTATTCAGTTTGACGCGCATTTCGTCCTATTTGAGACTCGTCGGCTATCAAGACCTAGTAGCTGGATTCAACTGCTAGCCACAATCCATCTTTGCTTATAATGTTGAATTATATGTTTTCAATTTTACAAATCATTACATAGATTATTATAATTATCTTATTCTTCTCCTTGTAATCGTTTAGTAGTTAATGATGTGAAATTACTCAGTCGGTCAGTTACAACGCAGAACCTCGTACGTACGTATATCAGTTTGACTTATCATATTGCATTAGCACAAAGATGCAGTTGTCGATTCAAATCCCATGGTGGTAGAGGTAGTAAATGTATGAGCAGTAATCGGAAATATTAGGGTTTGAAGATGTTATTCAAACAGTATAATTCAATGAAGTAAATTAGAAAAGAGAAAAAAGAAAAGGACATGAAGAATTCAGAAGATTAGAATTTGGCAGAACACAAAGAGTGGATGTAACTTGGCCATTGCAAACGACGTTGAACCATGTCATTTAAGGTCTCTAACCATCTTTTTTTATCATTTCGCCGATCCAAACCAAGTAGTCTACACCTACCTACTTGACTCAGTTCACTTGTCAGTGACTTGATGGATTTGTGCCATGTTTGGTCTGGCCGCCCCTAGCTTTCTTCCAGCCTATTCCTACACCATAGAACACTGCACGTCGGTGCAGTCGGTGGTTGGGCATACGTAACACATGACCCAGCCATCTCAACTGATGTAGTCTCACTATTGTCTATTACTATTTTATTATGAATATAAATGTTACCTGTTTTCGTGTGTGAGTAAATTTTTTCATTGCATATATTATTTAGTCGTCGGTACAAAAAAACACTCAACAAACATCCAAATATTTTTTTTGTTTTTCCATTCTTTTAGTGTTATGTTTCTATTGGTCGTTTAACTAAATTTTTGACTCATACTGAACTTGATTTGGAATCTTATTCAAAAGAGGATACACCTGGTATAGCTGCAGTAGTTGAACGTGGAGTATTTGGTTGGGATCCAGATGAGGAACCGACTTTAACAAAGTAATTTATTTAATCTTCGAAATCTACTTATTTGACATCATGATTTATGTTCTATTAACTTTAATATATTTCTAGTCTATAAAACTTTTTAAGACCAATATCTCTCTGAAAACATCACTAATGATAACTTATGATTGTCTCTTTATATCATTATGGGGTTGTGAAGATTAATATGTTTTCATTGAGATTGTGAACCGATTAATGTTAGACCACAATTGTATACCTGTAAGTACTGGACGGCGGTTTCATCCGAGTATGAGACTTTTCAGCAGTGCTTATCCTTGATCCCGCTCTCAGGATTACGAACCTAGGACATATCGGTCTTGCGCGTGAACGTCTAATCTTTAGATCACTGAGCCGGTATCCAACGGTGTTAATGTCTAATCTTAACCAATCCACGAAATTGCGCGACCATCTTCCATTGTACTAACGTAGATATCTATCTCTACCTGACACTGATTAGCTCCAGTTTTCACGGCTTCTCACTAGAACTTCGAGAATTCCCTCACGAGGCTAGCCACTAGTGAGCATATGATAATTGTCAGTATAGGGTTGTGGAGAGTATTATGATTTTGATTGAAATCATGAACCGATTGACGTTAGACCACCACTGAAAACCTGGAAGCATTGGACAGTCATTTGGTCCCAGTATGACACTCTTCAGCACTTCGCGTTCACGATCCCGCCCGCGGAATTTTTAAAAAATAAGTTGATGAAATCCGTTGTAGTAAACTAATTTAAAGTGATCATTGTCTGATTATTTGTTGTTTTGCCTTACATTTCTCTATATTATAATTTACTATTTTCGTTTTTTCTTATCAATGAAATGAGGTTAAACTTTCAAGTATTATATGATCCGAATGAGGTGATAAGTTGGAATGTTGTAGTTTTTCTATCTAGATTATGTTATAATGAATGATTTGGACAATAGATTTTATACTAAATATACAAGAAATATTTTGTTCAGAATACATGAATTGTGCTTAGCAACAGAATTTAGAATGGACTTTTCATGTTACATTAGACTTGTCAGCTGGATGTTCATGTTGGGACTTTAATCCGATGTTTCGCTCACTCACTGAAATAATTGGTGAATGGTTGCTCAATCTCGTGGATTGGTTGAAGTTAAACATTTATGCCGTTGGAAGCTGGCTTAGTGGTCTAATGGTTAAGCGAGGCTGATAGGTCCTAAGTTGGAATCTCGCGGGTCGGGATCGTGGATGAGCACTGCTGAGAAGTCTTACAATAGGACGAAATGGCCTCAAAACAGTGATTTCAGGTTATCCATGGTGGTCTAGCTTCAATTAATTCATGATCTCAACTATCAAAAATTACTATATTATCCACGGAACGCCTTCTGATAATTAATTAATTGATTTAAATTATCTATTTTATTGACGTATTATAAATGAATTAACTAATTAGTTACTAAGAGGAGGACAATGTATTTTGATTCCCTTGAATAAACTAGTTTAATGATGCGGTAACTAAGTCAACCATAGCATGTATCTATGTATATATCTATATAGATGTATAATTGTTTAATTAAATGTAATGAAACCATTAATTACACATAAATGAAGATTGATTTAGTTTTTCAGGAAACAATTATCAAATATATTTATATACAATACGGACTTAATTTGTGATTATTATTATAAAGTAATGATAAACATTAAATAGCTTACTTATGCCTAATGCTTCCAATGGAGCATAGGCCGCCGACCAGCATTCTCCAACCCACCCTGTCCTGTGCCTTCCTTTCAAGTTCTATACTACTCTTGTTCATTCTTCTTATGTCTGTCTTCATTTCTCGGTGTAATGTGTTCTTTGGTCTTGCTCTTCTAATTTGACCTTCAGGATTCCATGTGAGGGCTTGTCGTGACGAAGTTGGATAATTTTTTCAATATGTGTTCTATCCACTTCCAGTGCTTCTACCTGATTTCTTCCTCCACTGGAATCTTGTTTGTTCTCTTCCACAGTAGAATGTTGCTGATAGTGTGTGGTCAACTGATCCGAAGTATTTTGCATAGATACTCTAATAAACACTTGTATCTTCCGGATGATGGCTTTCATAGTTCTCCAGGTTTCCGCCCCATACAGTAGAATTGTCTTAACATTTGTACTGAAAATTCTGGTCTTAGTGTTGGTTGACAGTTGTTGTTCATCATTTGTAAATATGCTGCTGTTGCTTTGCCGATCAGCCGTGTTCATCGATGATGCTGCACAGATATGTAAAGGTTCTCACTTCTTCCAAAGCTTCCACGTCAAGTGTAATTCGATTAGTGTTTGCCATATTGTATTGGAGAGTCTTGCTTTTCCCCTTGTTTATATTGAGACCTTCTGCTGATGAGGCTGCTGTTACACTGGTCTTCTTTTCCTGAATTTGTTGTTGCGTTTGTGATTGAAGAGCCAGATCATCTGCGAAGTCTAAATCGTCCAGATACATTAAATAAACAATTTCTCAATTTTGCGGATTGGTTAAAGTTAGACATTAAGATCGTTGAATTCTGGCTTAGTGGTCTAAAAGTTGAGCGTTCGTATGTGAAACCGATAGGTCCTGGGTTGTAATCGTGCGAGCAGGATCATGGATACGCACTGATGCGGAGTCGCATAATAGGACGAAACGGTTGTCCAGTACATCCAGGTTTTGTCATGGTGATCTAGCTGAAATCAACTCATGAATTTAATTATTAAATTATTATAATCTCCACGATGTCCTTATGTGATAATTCCTAAATTTATAATTTCAGTAAAGTAGCAGATGCTTGTAAAAATTTTTTTGACCTAAGCCTCATTTTACATGTTGAAAATTCGTGATGTTTATGAAGTGTTGTTGTTTGGTGTTGCACACATTCTCATTCACTATTTATATAACATAAAGTAAGTCCTGAATCTGACTACTTGTTACTTTATAACTATTAAATACCTGTTGTAATAGTGAATAACAGTAGTAGTTACTGAACACTGATGGTAACCTCGTTGGTATAAACGATGATATCTTTATTACTGCATTCACTCCTCTCTGCCTTCACTCCATACCAAAACATAAACTTTATATTTATATGTATCTATTTTACATAATTTGTTATAGCATTTCTATACAATTCCCTGAAGGTCAACTCACAACAATTATGGGTAGTGTAGGTTCTGGTAAATCAAGTTTGTTACATGCATTACTTGGTGATATGGAAAATTTCAATGGTCGAGTTAACGTTAAAGTAAGATACGTATTATTTTTATCAAAAACAAGTATATAGATGTTAGAAGGGGTTTTGTGGAGATTTCAGTATTTTCATAGTTGAAATCATGAGTCAATTGAAGCTAGACCACCATGGGAAACCTGGAAGCACTACTTAAAGGCCGTCTCGTCCTATTATGAGACTCCTCAGCAGTACGCATCCACGATCCCGAACTCGCGAGATTCGAACTCAGGACCTATCAGTCTCGCGCCAGAGCAATTAACCGATAGACCACTGAGCTGGCATCCAACGGTGTTAATGTCTAACTTCAACCAGTCCACGAAGTTTGAGCAACCGTTCACCAATTGTCTTCAGTGAGTTGATATCTCTACAACAGACTTGGTTGAACTCCACTGGTCACTGCTTCACAGTGCTTCCAGGCTTGCCATGGTGGTCTAGCTTCAATTGACTCATGATTGCAACTATATAAATGTCAGTTTTTATACAAATTTATTTCGGAGTTTATTTGTTATTTCTTCCATGATCATTAAAATAATTTTTTAGGTACAGTGACCAATTCAATTTTTCATAGTTACAGTCACGAACTTATCCTAACTAACACCCGAAGGGACTGATCAGCTCTTTCGTCCTAGTATGGCATGTTAACAATTCTAGATCCTCAGAAATCAGTTGGTAAAATTCCAATAAACTTAAGGAGATTAACTTAAGCGCTAGAGCCCTAAAAACTTATATAAGTATTATGCTGCATAATACATATATTTGTAAATGTAACTAGAGCCTTATTGATTGGATTCATGCTGTATTAGTCTCTTAAAAAACGACACTGACATTTATTCAACGATGCCTACATTAGCACATAGACATTGCAAGTTACTATCTACAAGAATGATTAGTGATCAAAAAGTCCGTCGTTAAACTGAACTTTGGACGTTCCATCCGAAACGCCGGTTATTCATAATTACAAATTACTGTCAATCAATTGAAGTTGGACAATAAATTTACTGGTTGATGGCTCAGTGGTTTAAAGGCCTAAGCTCTCACTGTTCAAATTATTGTAAGTTTTAATATAGTGAACAGACGAGTTCAAGATTCGTTCTAAAAATATAGTGAACTAAAATTAATTGCATAATATCCTTTCTGTCCAACACATGATCATCATCGATGAAATTAGTTAAAATAGGGTTTCACGTTGACAATGTTTAGTCTTTTTCTAAATTACTACGATTGATGCTTAGTAAATCGTTGGAAAGGTTTGTTGATAACACACTCGGTGTATCTTTTCTACAATAAAAGATGAATTAATATGGAAAGTGGAGTTGCTCTCGGTCAACTGAAAAACAACGAAGGTTAACTGAACAAAAAAATCTTTGATCTTCCGGAAATCATTTTTTATTATCCTGCTTTTTTAATTATTTATTATGATCATTATTAGTAGTATTAGTGTTAGTATTATTATCACAGAATGTATCACAGTTCACATAAAGTTCATTCTATAAAATTTATTTAAGTCGAATTTATCCCATTAAGAACATTTACTCATAGTGATGCTCTTTTCCTTAATCCATTGCCAATGCTTAGAATATTCCTGAAATTCCTTTTAAGTGTCGTTCTTCATATGCTCCGTCATATCTTTTATTGTTTCATTATGTTCCCAATGATATCTCTCCACAACGATTGTACGTTTCACAGAAAAAATTCACCGATGACGAAGTTCGGTGAGAAGGGAGGTTGATCTAACCTTAAAGTATAAGTAGGATCTAGAAAAGAACAAGAAAATTACTATTGTATATCAAGGGGTATTTATTTATATGATGGAGTAACACCTTTTTGATACCGACTTTTTTACTTAAGAATTGTGAATTAGGGAGTGTAGTTAGCTTGTGATGGTTAATCAAATCAGATGATGAGAGTGTTAACCACTTTCATAAATAGATTGATACTGTAGTGAACAAGAACACGGGTGGGGACAATCGAATGTACTTAAGCACAACATTGCAGAATATCTCACTAAAATCTGATAACCATACAGTAAACAGTTAATTTGCAAAATAACAATCAATCGACTCAATCTTGACTGTTCCTTCTGCAAATATCCATCTATAGTCTCCGATTATGATTGTACATGCATTTTCGTACCAATCGTGTGCCGTTCCCGTTATCTCCTTATCGATCTTCTACTGAAATACATTCAATGCCTGACCATCACCATATACTACTTATGTGGATATCAGTAAACCACACTACAATACTACCATATACTAATAATGTATAACTAATCTTATGTATAGTCGTATTAATGATTAGAAGAGTCATGAGTATGAAAATTTAAATCTTTTCAATAATATAGATCATTGTTTATGAAAACTGTCTCTCATGATCTCAATTTGTTGACATTTGTTATTGTACATATTCACCCCACCATTATATATTAACTTATATATATTATATATCTATCAACTTCATTATTAGGGTACTGTAGCTTATGTACCACAACAACCATGGATATTCAATGCAACATTACGTGATAATATATTATTTCATCATTCCTATGAACCAATTAAATATCAACATGTATTACATGCATGTAATTTAATACCAGATCTTGAAATATTACCTAATGGAGATATGACTGAAATTGGTGATAAAGGTATTAATTTATCAGGTGGACAAAAACAACGTGTCAGGTAACTAAAATTACTGATTATTATTTTTTAAAAGTATTATCCTCTTTTCTATTCTCTTAATTCATTTAGTATTGTATGTTTGAATCCTCCCATATATGTGATAGGACTGCAACTAGTCAGTCTCTAATTGGCATATGTGTATACTGTGCGTATTGTTTCAATATAGCCTTAACTCAGTGGCCGAGTGGATAACGCGATAGCGTTTGAAGCGAACGGTGCTGGGTTCGATTCCCTCGCAGAGTGAACATCAACTCTGAGATGCAGGTACATCCAGCTGACGAGTCCCAAATAGGACGAAACGCGCGTCTTGGATTCCACTGCTAGCTACTATCCATCTCTGCTTATTCTCTTAATATTCTTATCAGGATTCATAATTTTTTTCATATGATGACTGAAAAAATTTTGATTATTAAAGAAAAAGCAGATCATCACGGCAACACAAAGAGATTCACTTATTTTGTAAATACAAATCAGTTAATTTGTTTCATTTCATTTGCTCTAAATCTTCCTTAAATTCTTTCTCTGATTGGTATTAATAATTATAAATATCTTATAAATCACTTTAAAAGACGAGTCTTTTGGAGCGGTTTGTCCACAATTGATCAAATGCTCTTGTATCGAACTAGGTATCTTTTTACATTCTCCTTTTTTGGAGTCAAGCCGGATAGTCTTCAGAGATACGTTTGGAAAGCGATCGCTTTGTGCGGCCTTTGTAACGTGCCCCATATGAGCAAATATATTTATAGATACACAGCGATGTGGCTCAAAGCGAAAGTTTATTCTTAACACAGCCCCGAATTAGGCCAGCTAGAGAAAACGATTCGAAGCTTGGCTGTGTATAAAGTTTTTGTTATAAACTCGCCAAAATACTACGTATTGCGATAGGACTACACGAAATTCTACCGATTGACCAAATTCAGATATCCTAGTTCGACCCCAATACTGTTTCCCAACTCCAATAAATCAGAACACAGCCGTTAAATGAGAATTGTTTATGGGGTCAGAAGCAGGTCAAAAATGATTTACAGACAAGGCATATTTATACAGTTAAGATGACTATTAACAGTAACCAATGGAAATGAAGGACACGTAAAGGTTATAATTAGGACAACTCAAAATTGACCAATAGGGAAACGACACATGAAAGTCATAGTTAGGACAACTGTAATTAATGACCAATAGGAAATAACATGTAAAATATGTGAAGAGTCTGAAAACATGCCACTTTACATTCGAGATAATTTTTGGGATATTCCTGTGAATATCCTAACAGTTTTATTCAACGATTTTGAAATCCGTTTATTCAAGATTTCAGCAGCTGTGTCTGCTTTAAATTCCATATTCATAAACAAAGTTTTCTTCTGCACTATCAAAGCTTCTTCTTAACGAAGTCCAGGTTCTTATAATATATTAATATGATTACTTAAAATTTTCATTATTAAAGAAGAAACAGATCACCATAGCAACGCAAAGAGATTATTTATTATCTACTTATAACGGACTATTGAACATTTATGGGAACGATTTAGGTACATAGTTAGCTACTGTTATTTACGAATCATGATTAGTGCTCGAAATTGATGTGTAAATACATCCGTTTAATAAAGATGATAACATAATATAGCACTGTTGCTTATATGGTAATTAGATTTTAGGCAAAACAGAATTAATTTTTGTTTTCAATAATGGTAATGAACTGCCCTCAAATGCCCTGGTACGGCCGAGAGTGGGGAGAGTCCGCTTTCCCTCTCCAAACACTCTCACATGGCCACGCGTATATAGCCTGTGTCAGGGAAGTCCTATTCACTGCCTTCTCGTAGCATAACGGTTGTTCATGAAGTTGAGAAGACAAAAAGCGAATGTCTAGTGCTTTCACTGGGTTGGTAGACACGGAAACTCCACCTAGAGGAGTTGGAAAATCCTGATTCCAAACCAATGGTGCATATGAGCTCCATTATCCTGAGGGAACAAACGGCGTATGAATCAATCGTTGATCACTGGATACTATGGGACTGCATCTCCTCACCATGCTCCACTGCCTTAATGATCAGATCTATAGGTCAAAGATTCCGAATGTGGTCCCCTAAGTAAACCACCTGTTTCGGTTTGGGCACCTGGACAGTATCACAGCCCTCACGCAAAACGAATGGGATTTGTGTGGCGCATATATATTTGGTGCCTCCTTGTACCAATATTTATGTGTTCAAATGAAATAATAATAAATCTATATACATGATTCCATTTGTTAACTTGTTTGTGTTCTTCTAAATAAGTTTAACTGATTCTACTCAACTTAAACCCTAAATGATAAGATGATATATTTTAGCAAGTAGATGTGATTATCTGCTTATTTATAATGATCCATATGAGAATAGGTCTGATAATCTTCTGCTTTTCGTTGTATTTCAATACCAGTTGAAGGTGTGAGCTGTTATGTTAACCTAAATTTTCAAATTAAAAATCCATTAGTTATGGATCTATTTAAGCCTACCGAGCTTTTGTACAAATAAATAACTTCATTTCCCTTCAAACAATAGAGAACTTTTACATGGATCAAAAGTGATTATATAACTGATAATTTCTGGTTTTTTACTTTTCCAAAAGCAAATTTCCGTTAATGACGACTAGTTTTCATTTGTTCTAGTCTAATCAATATCATGCCTCATACCTTTATGTATCGTTTATTTTCTTTTTATTGTTATTAGCCTAGCAAGAGCATGTTATGCTGATGCTGATGTCTATTTGTTAGATGATCCATTATCAGCTGTTGATCCACATGTTGGTTTACATTTACTTAAATATGTATTAAGTCGTTCCAATGGTCTACTTGCTTCTAAAACATGTATACTTACTACACATAGTCCAAAAGCTTTACCATTCTCTGATCGTGTTGGTCTAATGTCTGATGGTCAAATAATTGAATTGGGTAATTATCGACAATTGATACATTCTCATACAAGTCGTTTATCTGCATTTTTAATAACAGCTATACGAGCTGAATCAGAAGTTCAATCAAATTCATCAAAAGAACGAGTAGATTGTTCACCGGAAAATTTAAAAAAAGGTAATCAATTATGTCTATCTTCAGTACACTAGTAGTCTGCAGTCAGACGACCTTCGTTAAACTAAATTTCAAAGTAATAATCATTCATTTTTAACTTGTTATCATTTGATTATATTTTGAATAAAACCAGAGTAGTGTCGGAGGATTTCTGGATGATTCGAAAAATTAAAAAGATAATTTTACAGTGGATAAAATCACATTGTAATCACGAGCCGATCAATGTTAGATCACTATTGAAAACATGGAAGTACTAGATGACTATTTCGTCCTGGTATTGGACTAAGCAGTGCTCATCCAAGACGCCGCAACTGGGATTTGAACTCAGGACCTTCTGTCTCACACACAAACGCTTTACCTTTAGACCACTAAGTTTGCATTCGACGATGTTAATGTTTAAATCCAATCAATCTATAATATTGGTTGACCATTGTTTATTGTCTTCTGTGGGTAACTGCCTCATACCCGACACCGTTTAGCTCTACAGGTCACCTAAAAAAATAAATACTGGATGGGAAAATATCATTAATAATATAATAATAATAGGCCGTGATTTTAATCTGAATTATGGATTCACCATGATAGTGATCAATGGACAACTGTCTGTTTTTGAATACATAAATTAAGGCTTCAGTTTTGTTGTTGTCTGTTGATAATTGTGAATAATTTATGAAATTGGATGATATACTCTCTATCGATTAGATATCAATCTGTTGAATGATTCAAGGCTTGAAAAAGCCCTCGAAACAAAATTGATTTATATTCTTCTAGATCATCCGTTCTGTCTTTATTCATAAACGTAACCAATTGTATGGAATTTCCCTTCAACTTATATTTCTTATCATGATTAGATTTTCGTTACGACTAATCTCCTTTTTTCTCTTTTGTTATTTATTTTGTTGATTCTCCTCTTTATCTGTACTAGTATGAAATGCTACAATTCAGTCAGTCAGTCAGTCACAATGTAGAACTTCATACGTACGTACATCAGTTCGAGTTGCCATACCTAGTACCCGTTTCCTAACAACTGCATTACTTACCTGGTGGTCTTACGATATGCGAACAATGATTCGAAGACACCTGTGATCGAATACTAGTAGCCTACAATTCAAAACAGTAAATATTCCTATTAAGTCGTAGATTGACTTTCACAGACCGACTGATTACTATCAGATGACTGAAGTGAATGTATATATAAAAATATAGTAGGAGCATGTTGAAAGCGTAAAATCTTCAACGCTTTTGATCGAAACAACTGGATTTAATCTTTAATCTAAAATAACTTTGAACGCTTTATGAATTTGTTTGAATTATTGACTAGTAAACTTCTATTTTTGTGAAATATACTTGGATAATTTGTTTGTATATACATATATTTTGAGATGGTGGAGACAATTTGTAGCTCAGGTGGGTGATTTGGATGTAGGTTTATTCTCATGGATTAATCTTCTTGACTATATTAAATTTATAGCTAGTTGGTTTGTATTATTAATTAAGCAAATGAAGAAATGTTCATTTACTTTTCAGAATTCCTTGAACCAAATTCCATTCTATCTCTTGAATCATCTCAAGCATCTGAACATTATCATGGAAGTCCTTCAGAAACTTTAAGTATAGATAATTATGATGTCGGACTATCAAGTTTTACTAAAACAGGATTATCTCAAAGATTTGTAAGTATATTGGCATATTTATTTCAAAGAAGGCTTTTTGAATGGCATATGTAAATACATCATCTTGACCGTTAAAATTGTTAACGTTGTGTTTCATGCTACGTAATTGTAGCAAATCATATTGTAGTGTACAGAACACAACTGGGGACAATCGAATGTATTTAAGCAAAAATTACAGACTATCTCAGTAAATTCTGATAACCAAACAATGAACAGTTAATTTGCAAATTAACAATTAATTGTCTGAATCTTCACTGTTTCTTCTCTAATTCCATTGTTCATGCATTTTCCTACCGACTGCGCTTGATTTCAGTTCTTTCCTCATCGGTCTTCTGCCAAAATACATTCTATGTCTGACCAACACCATATACTACTTATATGGATATAAGTAGACCTTATCACAATATGTGTACCTTACAAACCCATAATAATTGAGACAACGAACATGATATACTGCTTAACTTGGGGTACCCTTACTAGTAAAATTTATGGATATTATAGTAGAAATAGGATTAGCTAATCATTATTCTATGGAGTTTATTAGCTTCAATCATTTTAATTAGAGTTTGTAAAACTCAATAAGTCGATTATTTAAAGCTTGAAACAATAATTTGTGAAGTAATGTTTTGATGGTTGAACAAATCGATCTTCAAATAATTAGTTACAGGCTCGAATCCTACTCCTTTAAATGCTTTTTCAACAACTATATATATATGGTCGTAATGTGTCCAGTTTATTTGTGAAGGCCAAAGATGTTACCTAGTTGTTATGAATGAAGTAGGTGATGCAAGACTCAAATGTAGTGGTTGAAAGTCTTATACTTCAACTACTGACCCATCGCTCCACGTTAATCTAAGACTTACGATTACTGGATGTAGTTCCATTTCAATGTTAAAAATTTTCACATCAAGTTTTCAGTTCGTTGCTTCAAAGTCTTAACTTTAGGTTAGATAGTAGCTAAATTATCGTCATTATTTGTGTTTGAATTCTGGACTGAATTTCTATGAGTTGATCATTTACAAATCTAATGACACACAACTTTTGAATCTCATTGTTTTAATCACTTTCGAAATAGAACAAAACTTGCAATTAAAAGCTTATTTATTGAAACATCTAGTTAGATGGTATGTATTTCCCCTGTAACTGTCCATATTTCAGTCCTGAATATTAACAAAGAATAAAAAAAAATTTTAAAAAAATTAAGACCTAATCACTAAGCCAATTTCGAAATAATTTTTTTCTATATTTTTTTTAATCATTAGCATATTTTGTAACTAGCGTAATTTTGCAAATTATTCTATGAAATATAAAAAACTACTGAAGATTTTTGTTATGAACGTTGCTTAGTTACTTATATTCTGTTCAGTAGTAAATCAGTGAATGTCTAGGTGTGGTTCATTTGGACAACAGATGGTTTAGTTTTTTCAAAAAAAAATTATTTTATTTATACTTTTGTAAAAGTTCACTCATTGTCTGATATGATTTTCATACTGTTACAGGTCAAGACACAGATTTTTTTAATTTTTTATTGATGTAAATCAGTATTATTAACATTGATTTCTTATCAGAAGGGGGTTAATTGTGGAGATTTAGTATTGTCATAGTTGAAAGAGTGAATCAATTGAAGCTAGACTACCAGAGAAAACTTGGAAGCACTGGAAAGCTGTTTCGTCCCATTGTTGGAACTCATCAGCATTGCTCATCCACGACCTCACCCCGCGAGATTCGAACCCGGGACCAACCAGTCTCGCGCCAGAGCATTTAACCTCTAGACCAGTGAGCCAGCATCCCATTGATTTCTTACTCTATAAAACGATTATAAATAGATGACGTATTCCCCATTTTCTGTTGGGTTTCTTGGTGGTGATTTGGTTAGTTTATTGGTTGTACTCATCATGTATTTGCCTCAAGCAAAGAGTGTTGAGTGTGTTATCTCCTTACATACTCTATCCGTAGTCTAATGTTTATGATCTGTACACGAGATCTATGTAGATACTATGTATATCGAGTACCACTGAATTTGATTTTACTATCAGTCAATTAGAACTTGTTGTCGGAAAACTCTTTGTTGAGGTTTAGTACTTCTCAACCGACATTATTTATCAAACTCATGCTATGTCAAAGGATATTCGGTCAAGTATCAATCATCATGACAGTTGTAACCATAATTAACACATAAAAGGAATGAGTTGTATATTTAATTTCATGGTTTATAAAATGAACAGATCACATTCCTATAACTGATGGAAATATGATGTCGTACAATAAAACATCCCATTCAATATTCGCACTTCGTCATCATCATCATCAAGAAAGTCTGCATTCGATGCTGTATTATTATTATTATTATTGTCTTATCGTACACTGTTTTATTTACTCACATTTATCTCATCAATTAGGACAAATCATCAATAATTGCGGTCAGTGAAACTGAAGATACCGTAAAAGAACAAGAGCAGAAAACTATTCAACCAATGAGTCAACCAGAGAAAGTTCTCACCGGTCGAGTAAGTGATTGTATCTTATTATATATCAGTGAGATTTATAAATTCCTGATTATGATAATTTTAAAATTATACCAATGAATAAAGTGTATGTACACATTCTGTGTTCTATGGCTATAATCTAATACGTACAACATGTATCCATCATATATCAAATCCAAAGTTATTATTACACATTAACCTTTACGAATAGGGGTGTAAAATGTAGCCCTCCTTTATTTTATGATAGCATACAACATCAGAGAAATTTGAACTTCTAGAAAAATCGTACAGTGTTAACGAGACAAGATACATTATCTTTCGGTCTATCGGTTAAGGGTTCTGGCTCGAGACTGGTAGATCCTGGATTCAAATCTCGCGAGTGCGGGATCGTGGATGCGCACTGCTGAGGAGTTCCATAATGGGACGAAACAGCCGTCAGAGAGTGCTTCCAAGTTTTTCATAGTGATCTAGCTTCAATTGACTCACGCTTTCTACTAACAAGATACATTAGCTTGTAATATTTCAGTTAGCTCTTAATACTTTTGATTAGGTTAAGAAAGAAGTAGTTCAATAATGACTAAGTGAAATTGATGTAATATATCAATTCATTAAAACTGACAAACTACAATATTACATTGAATTACATCATTACTCTTATAATTTTTTACAAACTTATAGTGGTATTGTATACATGTTATTTATTATATTGTTTATGTTCAAAATGAACAACGTTGAATGATATGATTATTGTGAGTTTATGAAGATTGTTGAGTTTATTTACTTTATATCATTAACTGATCTTAGACAGTTATCGTAAATTAAGATGTTTTAATTAAAAGCTTATTGAAAGACCTTAAAATCTTCAGATTAACAATTCCAGGTAAAAATAGACAGTGGCTAGCAATGAAATCCAGTTTGACGCGCTTTTCGAATTTAAACTTTACCTCATTGCACAAGCAGATGGCTATCAGGACTCAGTAACTGAGGGGATAATGTGATGGCATTTGAAACGAAATTTACTGGATCCAAGTCTCAGAGTAAACATCAACTTTGAGATGCAAGTACATTCAACTGACGAGTCTTAAATAAGACGAAATGTACGTCAAACATCATTCCATTGCTAGTTACGATCAATCTTTGTTTATAATACTTGTGAATTAAGACTATATTGAAGCAATCCATATAATATTTTGCACATATGCCAATAAAAGACAGATCGATCAACTGTCATCCTAAATATCAATAAGAAGATTCAAATAAATGAATTTCAGGTAAACTTCACATTGCTGATACATTCCATACTTTGGATGAAACATCTATCCAATTCACCTTAGTTTTCAATAATTATTTAAACTAAGATCAATCTGTCATTCATTCTATAAACAAGAGAGTAATTCTCATTTCTTATTTAACATTGTTTTTCTTCTTTTTTCTTTTTTTTTTCCTCTTTTTTACAGGTTAATTTTCGTGTATTTTTTATTTATATAAAAAATATTGGATTACTATATAGTTTATTAGTATTATTATTTTATCCAATTAATCATTTATTATCATTGGGAACAAATTTATGGTTAGCTGATTGGTCAAATGATTTTAAACAAAATCAATCTAATTACTCTTATTCTAATTTATTATCTAATATACAAATGGAACAATATTATTCCCAACGTAATTATCGATTATCAATATATGGTATTATTGGTATATTACAAGGTATATATATTATATAATCATACATTTTATAATATATTTTTTTCTTTTTTTTTTCTTTAAACACAAAGGGGGGGGTACAATTGAGGTACCAGATATATATATTCATGAGCCACATAATAGACTTTTAATAGAAACATAAATAGTACTGTTAGTAGATATTGTTATTTCATTTGATTTGTGTGTGAGCTATGATACTGTCCGGGTGCTTAGATCGAAGCAGATAGTTTTCTTAGGGGGACTACACCCGAAGCTTTTAACCTATAGGTCTAACCCGACAAAGTAATATCATTTTCCAAGATATTTGAAACTAAATTAATTATCATTCATTAAACTGAGGTATTAATTGTAGACATTTGTTGATACAATGTACAATGTTTCCTTTCCATAGTTTTGATCTATCACAAAAAATATGATCCCGAGAAATATCATTAAGAATATTCTTCATGGTTTAATATCTAAGGATTTCAAAATGTCAAGGTATAACAAAACCCACTGTTGATATTATCAGTTTCATTAGTAGACCTATCTCTCAATGAAAACAATGCAATATGAATAAATTTAATGATCGTTATCACTCTGGCAATGTTAATATCCAATATTTTCATTATAATGAAACCTCATGCACAATATGTAATCAGTGCCCCCCATGCCCTGGTACGGCCGAGAGTGGGGAGAGTCCGCTCTCCCTTTCGAAATGCTCGCACATGACCACACGAATATACAGCTTCTGCCAGGGAAGTCCTACTCACTACATTCGCGTGGCGGGGGCTTTGTTTACGAAATTGAGAGGACGAAAAGCGAATGTCCGGCGCTTTAACCAGGTTGATGGACACGGCGCATCCATCTAGGGGATTTGGAAAACCCTGATTCAAACCTAATGGTGCACACGGGCTCCAGTATCTTGAGTGAACAAATGGCGCATGAATCAATCGTTGGTCACCGGTTATCATGGGACTGCATCTCTTCACGATGCTCCATTGTCTTGTGGATCAGACCTTTAGTTGGAAAGCTCGGGGTGTGGTCCTTTAATAAAGCCTACTTCAGCTTGGTCACCTGAGCAGTATCACAGCCCTCACACAAATCAAATGAGATTTGTTTGGCACATATATATCTGGTGCCCCTTTGTACCAATATTTATGTGTTTAAATAATAATAATGATGTATAATCAATTGTTTAACAGTAGATTTTGCAAATATTGAAAATGTCCTACCATTGACTATCACTAATCTAATCAATCTTTTCTTGGATATAATAATTATCTTTGGACAAATATTCTGCTTACATGGATTCATTTGAAGAACAAGAGTTTCAGTCAATGTAATAATTTACCTTTTCTTTGGAATATGGTTATGTTATTTATATAAAGACAGGGGGTTTACCATAAAAGCACGACAATATGTATACATATGTAGCATGTACATTTACTTCTATGATTAAATATGTAGATGGATGTGCATGTTTTTAGTTAACTTGTAAATTATTATTCATTTACGTAGTTTGTATAATCTATGGGGACAGAAATCATTGAATTCTTCTCATTCTCTTGTATATACGCATGTCTATATGTGTATATATGAAGTAGTAGTACGAAGGATTCTATGATTTCATTATTTTTAAAATTTTAGTTGATTCCTCTTTATAGTTGAAATTATGAGTCAATTGAACCTAGACCACCATGGAGTGCAAGTGCGGGATCGTGGATGCGCACTGAGGAGTCCCATTATAGGACGAAACTACTGTCCAGTGCTTCCAGGTTTCCCATGGTGGTCTAGCTTCAATTGACTCATGATTTCAATTATGAAAATGTTATATTCTCCACATTACTCCTTCTGATTTCTCTTTATGTAAACAAAATGTAATCATTCCATATTAATTATTATTTCATATGTATTACTGTTGTTTCTTATTTGTCTTAGTGTTATTCGCAATGTTATCCATTTATACATTGTCCATGGGTCATTTAGGATGTGTTATACGATTACATAGTCGATTATTAAGTTATGTGTTACATGCTCCAGCTACATTTTTTGATTTGGTTCCTCATGTAAGTTTCATTCTAATTGACATATTGTCATATTTTCGTAATCGTTGTTGTTAAGTGTTTTCTGCGTATACAAATGGAATAATGTAACAAGTATCCGAGATCTGAACCTGGGTGATAGATACAAGATTGTCACTTAGAGATTGAAAGGTATTGGTGTACAGGGATGTAGACTCTAACAGAATGAATGAATGTACAACTTTGCTTCGATTGCCATCATATTTTAAATTAAGCTTATTACTTAGTGGATTCCAATCTAATGTCAAATTATTCAAAGAGTGATCACAATACAAATGTATTTGTTCCGGTTTAGTAGACGTGTAAGCAATATCTTAGCTTATACACTAGCGATGATTATCACTATTTAAAAAAACAACAGAATGAACTATACTTCTCGCTTCACTTAATACCATCTTTCTCATATCATATACATATCTATCAACCCTGTTTATCATCACCTTCGAATATGAAGAAGAGAATTCAGCGAAGAAAATTTTCTTTTCGACGAAATCATTTACTTAAGCTGTACATTCGTATATATAGTTATATGGAATATATATATATATATATATATATATATATATATATATATATATATATATATATAGGAGGCTAGAAAAGATTGCATTTAAAAAGAATTCGACAATAAATAACAAATGAGGTTACGTACTCACAATTGATTAATCACTAGATGATGATCAATATCATGCGTGTCAAGTCCTTCTTAGTATTGATCGAATGCTATCGTTCAGGTTGCAATATGGCCACTAGTCTAGATGGCTTGACACTGAATGCACTATATATTGAGATAAAAGGTTATGTACTAATCAAGTAGTAAGAAGAGTATAAACATGGAGTTCCATGAAAGTATTTCGAGAAAAAGAGTAGACTTATGTTAACTTCTGACACACCATGACATTTGGTAGCAAGTCTACTGATACATTATTGATTTCAATGCATTACAATCAAATTGATCATCGTTTCTTTTCTTTTTCTTTTTTTCTTCATTTCTTTCAATATCTATTTTCTTTATAGGGTCGTATTGTAAATCGTTTTTCACAAGATATTGCAACATTGGATAATCCATTATTGGTATCCCTTAATAGTACATTAAATTGTGTACTAACTTGTTTCTTAACTTTATGCCTTGCTTGTACACTTAATGTATACATGATTATACCTATTTGTTTATTAACAATTATCTATTTATATATTCAGGTAAGTTACGCCCAAATAATTAAAATCTGTATTGTTTTTAAAAAAAAGATAGTTTCCTTGCATGTCGCTTTTTTTTGTATCCTAGTTACTGTTATATACATGATGAAACTATCATTTATGTACGATCTTTGAGTGACCCTAAAGTGACCTTGAGAGTGTCCACTTAATTACGAAGACCAAATGAAGATTATAAATCCTGTATAAGGAATTAGATTGATGATTTATAGTTAACAGTAAAGGTTAGCATGAAGATTTTGAGTTTTCATCAAGAACTAACATCGGTTATAATGCCAAAATGGTATTTTGGCAAATGGATAAATGAATGTCGCACCAAAATACAAGATCTGTTATCTTTTGCCTGATTGGTTCCTCCATAAATTATAGTCTCGCCATATACATAACAGTATATATATTCATTGTACTTGATGTACAATTTGTAAGTCATGTTTCATTGGAAATTGAATCCGAGCTATTTTTATAACTAGTTAATTCATATAATGTACTATTATCATTATATTATAATTTTGAAAGATATGGTCAATGTTATCATCCGTTGTGTAATATATAATGAACACAAAGTCTTGGATTGTTGAATCGAATTCCTATAGCTTTCGCTATGTGTAAGAGACGAGATCGAACCCCATAAAGAAAACTAGTAGGAATACGATAAATAAGTTTAAATGACTAGTTTCTGTCAACTATATGACCGCTATCGATCAAGTGTGAAAGAACCGAGTTCTGTATTGACTTGACAATACCTTTTCCTAATATATAATGCTAATGTACCATAATTAAATCATAATCACACTGATTATTATTTTAACGTTAGTTAGTATTATCGTGTTTAAGATTTTTGGATTCTTCAGAAGCTTTGAAACTGGAACCACTTTTCTTAGTTGGATTAAAGAATCTAGAGTATTTTGATGGATTATAATGATTCATTCTCTTAGGAAACTACTGTTTGTTTGTTTGTTTCAAGTTTGGTTACTTTTGTAAAGGAGTCATGAAAAGTTAAAAGCGAACATGATGATTTACTGTTTTGTTTATTTGACACTTTTCCTATTTTTACAAAACAACTGTTAATTATAAATTCACTTGATATTGTTTCCTTGAATGTTCCCATTGATGTTTAGCACTGCAATTGATCAGTCTATCTCTCATTGTCATATGTACATACTGTGCGTAATGCCTCGATATAACCCTAATTCTTAAGCATTATAAACAAAGATGGATAGTGGCTAACACTGGAATTCAGTTTGACTCGTTGTGTGTGTGTGTGTGACATTTTCGGTATATTTTTTAACCGTTTAATGACTAAAAATTCATTTCATATTTATTGTAATAAAGTGAAAATATGTTTCATTACAACTAATAACTACTGACTATACAACCAATAGCATTTCTTTTATGTACAAAATTCATAAACGGTATTTTGAAATGGTGGAGGAGATTTGTAGCTCAGATGGATGATTGTAATGGAGTTTTGTTCCCTGATCTGGATGTTTTGGTCGTCGAGCTTTCATCGTCCTTCTGAACGACGTCATCAGTACAAACTTCGGGTAGAAGTGAAGTGTTTGAATTCCTCCACATGTGATTCACAGCTTGTCATGTATACCTCGATGGTGATTGGTTCATGTTGACTTTAAATTTGTCATTGTGTATTTCTTTGTTTTGGTTGTATCTCCCAATGAGAGAAATTCAAACACTTCATTTCTCTCCGAAGTTTGAGCTGATGACGTTGTTCAGAAGGACGATGAAAGCTCCACGACCAAACCGTCCAGCTCAGAGAACAAAACTCCATCATAAACGGTCTTTTCTTTCATGTTGTATATATAATCTTTGTTGATTATTTCAATAAGGTATATTTTATCTCAATAGCTAATAACATGTAATTCCTTATCTTGGAAGATAAATTAGAGAATTACATATTGAAGGAATAGTTTTCAAAGATTTACCGGAATAGTTCGTAAGGATATATTTATATTTATTCATAGAGAAATGGGTAAAAATATGCTTATACTACAAATAAACATGAAACTATCAAAAGGGGTTATTGTGGATATTATAGTAATTTCAGTAGTTGAGATCATCAGTCAATTGAAGCTAAACCACCATAGAAAACCTGCATGTACTAGACGGCCGAGGCGGAATCGTGGATGCGCACTACTGAGGAGTCCGACAATAGGACGAAACTGTTGTCCAGTGCTTCGAATTTTTCCATGGTTGTCTAGCTTCAATTGACTCATAATCTCAACTACTGAAATTTATTGATTATATATGATTATGTAACTTTTTCAGTCGAACTCAAATTGTACAAATTAGTAATAATTAGAAAACATTTTATCATCTTTGATGAATATATACTTCGTCTAACTTAATTACTAATAAGAGAGGTTAGGATTTTATATTGATAACATTTCATAAAGTTAGACCATAAGAAATATCTTCCATTGGATATTGTTGTCTACTGAAGAAAATGTCATTCAAATCATATCAACACTGTAAGTTATGAATAATAAAGACTCCGATTGGGAACAAACATGTTGATTAGTATATCAACAGTGTTAGTTAAATCGATGCATGAATTCAACTACTAAAATTACTACAATTCACGCAAACCCCTTGTTGTGATCATAATCATCATATGCTCACTAGTGACTGGTTTCAACATCGATTTCTTGAAGTTCTAGTGAAAAGCCATGACCAATGCAGTCCAATCCGTGTCGGATAGAGACTAGTATTCACTTCAGACGAATGTTTGCTCAACGTCATGAACAGATTGAAGTTAGACATTAACACCGTTGGATGTTGAGTCAGTGGTCTAGATGTTAAGCATTCGCGCATGAGACCGATAGGTCCTGGGTTTGAATCTCGCGAGGCGAGATCGTGGATGTACACTACTTAAGAGTCCCATACTAGGACGAAACACTCGTTCAGTGCTTCCAAGTTTTCAATGGTGATGGTCTAACATACATCGATTCATGAATTCCACTATGAATTAAAATTTACTTCATAAATTTTTATATAAAATAATAAACAACGGAAAATTGAAAGTTTTCATTATTCACATTTTTGTTATTATAATTTATTCTACCTTGTTGCATAATTTAAAATAATAACAATTTGTTTGCCATTTTGTCATAAGAAAAAAAAGTAGGCTCATCTTATTTCACACAATTATTTCATGAATTTCTATGTAGGTTGGACAATCTTTCCCTTCTTCCCCCCTAGAAACAAATCTCTAGTTTCTATGAATTAATTTTTTTTATTCTGTATTTTTAATGACCCTAACAACATATCCAATGGGAACAAATTCCATGGATTTTGTGAACGATTATTATTTTAATTTAATAAGATAAAACCTTCTTCTTTTGTTCATTCACACTTTGAATATAAAGTTTAGTAATTAGGATTTGAAGATGAGATTGAGTTTTATTGTTAAAATAAGATGAGTATTTGTAGTATATGGTCTTAACATATAAACTGATACTACATATTAACTAGGTAATGTATTGATAGAAAGCTGCATAGGGCTAGCTTCTGTTGGTCTTTCATGACTCCCTGGATGGTGTTCAGAAGATGATGAAACACAATGGCTAGTGACATTATCAGATATGGCTCAGAATAGAAGCCAGTGGCGATCCTGCTGTAACCTTCTTTTACTTTCTTCACAAAGAGTAATTATAACTTCCTTAACTGAAGGATTTCTTATGGTTGTACATTTTAGTTTCCTCCATCATTACTCTTTATGTTTATGTCTTTAAAATAAATGAATAAAAAAAGGTATTGAAAGCTAGGGAATCTTAGAATAGTTGTTTTGTCGTAGTTGCTGCCTTAGCAACTATGTATATTTACTGTACTCTATATATCATCAAATTCTGCATCTAAGCATGTGGCATCGGGTACATTATAATTTGACTACTGATTTAAATCACTAATAATTTACTTATCTAAGTCAATTAGTTGTATCGCACATTTATCATCTAACGTCATCAATGAGGTGTACAACTTCTTAAAGGATTATTGATTGAACTATATAAATATACTGACAATCCAATAGTAATTTTAATTCACTTATGGAACATCGTAAGCCACTGTTATGTTATTTCATTTATTTTGATAAAAGAGTACTAAGTTATAACCACCCTCATTTTATTAGGACAGAGACTTTCTTAACTTGGATCTATTAATTTCACTGATTACCATTGTACCCAGGAATTATTTTGATAGTAGATAGTTTTATGCAGTGTTTAACAAACTATAACTTAATTCAGGTTTTCATATTAATTGAAACCCGTAAGCAAAATCGATCTATAATCTCTTGAAGAATAACGCCTCTTAGATGATTCAAACTTGTTTTACTCACTACTACAGTGTCTTAGTTATTAACATTAAATTGTCTGTGTCTCAACTTACCTTTACACCATTTATTTATTTAAACACATAAATATTGGTACAAGGGGGCACAAAATATATATAAGCCACACAAATCTCACTTGATATGTGTGAAGGTTGTGATACTGCCCAGGTGCCCAAACTGAATCAAGTGGTTTTCTTAGGGGAACACACCCGGAGCCTTTGACCTAAAGGTTTGATCCATAAGCCTGTAGAGCATCTTAAGGAGATGCGGTTTCGTGGTAGCTGGTGACTAAAGATTGATTTATATGCCATTTGTTCCCTCAGGATACTGGAGCCGATGTGCACCATTGGTTTTGGATCAGGGTTTCCCAACTCCTTTAGATTGACTTTCCGTGTCCACCAAACCGGTCAAAGCGCCGGACATTTAAACTAATCGTTTATTGATTTTTAATGGCCAATAATGTTAGTAATTAGTGAGTATAAAAATCATTTAAGTCATCATCAATTTCTCTCCCATAAACATAACATTGCACATATTTGTTCATCTTCTTTGAATATTCTTCTTTTTTTTTCTTCTTCACAGAATTTATATGTTACTACATCTAGACAATTGAAACGTTTAGAATCAATTAGTTTATCACCAATATTTTCACATTTCTCTGAAACTTTATCTGGTGTCGATAGTATACGAGCATATAAACTAATTGAAATTTATAAAACTATCAGTTCAATTAGACAAGATTTAAATAATTCGGCTGTTTATGCTTCAATTATATCACAAAGGTTAGTGTATTCCAATTTTTTCTTTGATAAACATGTCTATAATTCATATTTATAAACCATTAGTTCAATATTTTCAATTTATTTACATCTGTTAATAGTTAAGATTATGAATCAGTTGTAGTTAGACCACCATGGAAAACCTGAAAGCATTGGACTGCTCCTAAATGCCCTGGTACGGTCAAGAATGGGGAGGGGCCGCCCTCCCTATCCAAATGCTTTCACATTGCCACGCGTATGTAGCCTCTGACATGGAAGTCTTACTCACTGCCTTCTCGTGGCGGGGGTGTTGTCCAATTGATACACTTGTGACAGATCGTTCCTAACATAGTGCGTAATTCACTTTTAAATTTCTTGAATGGAAATAAATGTATTTGTACTCTAAGATTTAGCCTACTAATAGATAAGAAGTTATCCAAAGTCATTTAATATTCGTAGCCAAAAGGGTACGAAGTAGCACATTCTTTCATTCACTTCTTAGTTTATTTCGTACATCAGTTAATTTTGATTTATTTGACTGACCTATGGAACTTATATCCTGTATTCGTTTATATGAATATGAGTTTAAGACTTCCTTATCACTGATAATTATAGATTGTATAGATTGTGTACCTCCCGATTGGACTGCTTCGATATAGTCTTGTAATTGCAAGTTTTAAGTGATTTAACTTTCAATTTTAATACCAATACTAAAGTGTATGTATATCGAAGTTACTAGTTATCATTAAACATTTATCCTGGATACCTTATTCAATATGTAATAATCGCTTAAGTAACATATAATCCTGTTCAATTTTATGATAAATAGTTTTATTTTAAGCATTCACACGGAAGACTAAAGATCCTCAGTTCGAGTCCCGTGTATGAAATTATCGATGCTCCTTGTTAAGAAATTCCATACTTAAATGAAACAATCGTCTAGTATTTTCAAGTTTTCAATGATAGTCTAACATTGATTCATCAATGATAACTTTCAAAACCTTATAATGACGATGAAAAATTTTATTTATTAATAGTTTAAATTTTATTTTATTAACTTTTATCTTTATTGAACTTTCAATGTTTCTTTTATTCTTTTTTGTTGTTGGTGTTGGTGGTGGTGGTGGTGCTGTTGTTGTTGTTTAACTAGAAATTTATATATATAGTTTTATTATCTTTATTCTGTTTTCTTTTGCTTTTTCAATTTTGTTCTGGAGTTATTGAACAGATTGATTAAAAAGTAAATAAAATGTATTTGTTATAAACGTATGTATGCCGTCGCCAATTGTTATAAACGTAGAGAGAGAGAGAGGATGCTGGTTATAACAGTCCTTTTACTTCTTACACGTATGTGGAACGTTAATTTATCTTAGACGAATATCTATACTAGATTCCCACCCAGTGTCTATTCTACAGGACTTCAACACAACTCAGATCAAGAACACGAGATTAGCCTGACTAGAACATCAATATATTTCCACACGAAAATCCGACACAAGGAACAGTTAATCAATAAGTGTCCATCAACAAGGAACAGTCAATACATAATAAGGATAGGGGAATATATATAACACATATAACACCTGTCATCCCCTCTAATGTCTGACTCATCGAGACAACCAATCATTATCATTCTCGCCCACATATCAGTATTAAAGGGAATAATATCTAAAATTGTGATATTTAGTCAATATAAACAAACATTCTATTGATTGTATTGATAAAGAAGGTTATTTTATCTAAATTAATTAACTTTTAATGATGAATAAGTTGTAAGATCGAATTTAAATTTGTCTGTTACCATTTTTAACAATTGGATACCTTTTATAGCTTTCATATTAACAATGTAGCTGAAAGTTAATTAAACAAAATGAATCATGTTAAAACAGTGAATATTCATGCAATACAATACTATCAAGCGGAAAAATAACATTCAGATATGAATATATATTGCATAAATATATATATATATATATATATATATATCACATCTGCTGGGATTACCGGGTAACTAATAGTGAGCTTAGACTCAGGGTATTAGGTAATAGTGGTAAAACAGTTGATGAGATCATGAATTTTCATCGACTGAGATGGTTGGGCCACGTGTTACGTATACCTGAACATCTATTACCACGACGCGCTATGCTGACTACTATTGGTGATAGATGAAAGAGAATTATCGCATCACTCTTTGCAATAACTAACTTCTAGTTTGAACCATGTTGTTAGATGCAGACTACTTGGTTGTGATCCGCGTGACAATGATTGGAAACTCTAGGTGACATGGCTCAGAATCGATCACATTGGTGTACGTGTATACACTCTTTATCTTCTCTGAAACCTTTAGATTAAAATAGCTTCATATCTGTCTTCCTTCCCGCACTATATCCCTATATACAACCTTCCTTTTGTATACTACCACCATCACTAAATTAACTATTTCTATGAATCCGGTGTTCATCTTGTTGTGCTAATAGGGTATGGCGACTTGTACCGATGTATATATGTGCCTGGTCCTACGTTGTAGCTCACTGACTGATTCTGACTTTTGATCTTTAAATTCACTACACAAATAAACAAAAATACAGTTATTTAACAAAAGATCTCTATTCAGAACAAATTCTTTTCTTAACGAAATCGAACGCAATACATCACAGTTTTTTTTTAATGAATAATTAATGTGAAGTTAATTTCTTTATATCATGAGTTGGCTGTAAACCAGTAATTGTTGAAGAAGTGTTCAGTCGTGCTTCAACTTGAACAAACCTGTCTATACTTCAAATAGCTAGTCGTCAGTGTCTTGTGCTATGTTAGACATGAGATAAAAAGAGCTAATCACTATGGATATTAGCCGCGTAATATTCCAAACTGAATAAAATTAGAAATGTAAACCGACTGATTATCAACTTATTGGTCTAATGATATAGCCCTCTCGTCAAGGTCTGAAGATTTTAAATTCGATCGTTACTAGAGTTATCTATTTATCTTTTAAGGAGTTTCATATTAAGATAACAAAATTGTCCAATAATTCTCGATTTGTTGACAGTTCTTTTGTTGAATTTAGTTCCTAATGTAAAACTTCAAAACAGTAACCATGTAGTCACTATTGAATGGCTTAAAGATAGATTCTTGAGATTCTATTGGTTGACTAATTTCAACAATGTTAAGGGATACGTTGAATATTCACCACTAGCATTCAATAATTCAACCATCTCCAGATCACATATCAACTGAAAGTTAATAATATGTAGAATATTTTTACTCTTCAAGAAAATCTGAATATTTTAGGTTCGATCCCATGTGTGATGGTGTATATATATATATATATATATATATTGTTGAAGAGTTCCTAACTGGGACGAAACAGACACAACTTTATTGAAGTATTTCAATCATCCTTGAAACTTAGAAAGGAATCATAATTGTTTTCTTTGTGTGTAATATTATGTACATGCAAAGTTAATCTCTATATTCTTCCAAATTTTTTTTTGTCCTTAATATATAGATGGCTTGCAATTTTATTAGAACTTGTTGGTAATTCAGTTATATTAGCTGTTGGTATCTTATCCGTTGTTGCACAAGGTTATTTATCAGCTGGTTTCTCTGGTCTTGTTATTACTTATGCATTAAATTTAAATCAAACATTAAATTGGCTTGTACGTATGTTTTCAGAATTAGAAACAAATATTATATCTATTGAACGTATACATGAATATTCTTCAATTGAACAAGAGGTAAGTAACATTGTTGTATGTCTCTATCCTATCCATTTTTATTTATTAAAAGGAATTTGAACGAACAATTCTTTCTTAGATGACTTCATTATCAGGTTCTACGGTTTCGAAGTCCATGATTATTGTCAGATAGTCAATCACAACGTAGAACTTCGTATGTACTTAGGTACATCACTTCGAATTGCTATACCACATTAGCACAGAGATGCAATTGTCGATTCAAATTCCATAGTGGTAAAAATAGTAAGAGTATAAGCAGTAATTGGAAAGATTAGGGTTTGAAAATGTTATTGAAGGAGTATAATCCAATGAAATAAATTTAGAAAGAGAAAAAGGATAGAGATATGAAGTATTCAGAAGATTACAATTTAGTAGAATACAAAGAATAGATGCAATTTTGTCATTCATTCTTTATGATCTTTTACAAAGATCAAAATAATGCAGTAAATAATCAATTCGATAAATGTTATATATTTAAAATGGTGAACATTAACACATTTGTCATGACATAGATCCTTCAAGATTGTATTACTTGTAAATTAAAATGATTTAGAGTAAAGTGTCCATTCACAATCAGTATAATAATAACAATATAGCAAAAATGAAAATCAGGAAAAAATTGTATGAATAAAATGCCAAGTAAGAGAATTTCGTCTTGTTAATTAAGGTAATAAGAACGTTATGTGAATATAATATGCAATAAAATAGGTGTTATGAAGGTAATTACAAAAAAGAAAGATATTATGCGAATTGAGAAATATGGAAACAAAAGAAATTAGGGGGAAAGGGTTGTACGGAATTAATAATATTCATAGTTGAAAGCGTTAGTCAATTGATGCTAGACCACTAGGGAAAATCTGGAAACACTGGACGGCGCACTGCTGAGGAGTCCCATAATAATATGAAACGGCTGTTCAGTGCTTTCAGGTTTTCTATGGTGATCTAACTTCAATTGATTCATGATCTCAAATATTAATATTAGAAAATATGTTTATGACATTTTGCTTATGTTTTTTTTCTTTGACTGTTTTCATTTTTATCTTTTGTTTTATAAGCTGCTACTTTTTCTATTATCACAAGCAATTGTATAGAGTTACGTAAGTATTCTAGGTGTTAAGTACATAAATGAACTGATCTGTTTGAATGGTCTTAATAATTGACGTTGTAACATACACCTAATCACTTATTACTTCACCATTCAAAAAAGAATAAACTATTTAATAATAAGTCAATCTATGAAATGTCTAGGTATTATTTTGATTTGTGTAAAGCGATACGACCAATTAGAAGACACAAGATGTCGATGATGATTGACAACCTTCATGTAAGTGATTGAAAATGATCAAATATCTCAGATGAAATTCATACATTATATTGTTATTGGTTTCAAAAAATATGGAATCATGTCTGAAACAAACTACATTTCTCTTGGATACTGGTATGTCTTCCAAAACATGAAACAGCAGCTAAGTAGTTAGAACAATCATGGTTTAACTAATAAACAGTTCCACTGAAATTAGTTTGAATAGCCTGGTGTTAGATCACACCGCTCTCATATAGTATGGCTTAAAGTCGAGCATATAAACATTTACTTGATAGATTATATGAAACATTGAACTATAAACATTTTTTTAAACATAAAAGTCATTTAAAAGCAAATATGGATAGTGGTTAGCAGTGGAATCCAGTTTGACGCGCGTTTTGTCCTATTTGGGACTTGTCAGCTGGATATACCTGCATCTCAGAGTTGATGTTCACTCTGAGACTCGAACCCAGTACCTTTCATTTGAAATATAATTTTATGTTTATAAAAAGAAACTGGGATTCAACTTCATTTTTTTATTATTATACAAACAATTTTTTATCGCGCCATAAATTAAATCCTCATTTTTTCATCAATAAAAGTTGGAAATATTTTTTAAACCAATCAAAATTTAAAGTTATTACTTTTTTAACCTTGAACTTATTTTGACCTTCATAGGATAAATAACCTTCATAGACTAAGACGTTAATTTTGTAGTTTCATAGATTACTTCTTATGTATTATTATTTTTATATGCTAGTATTGGCAATGGTTGGAAGAGAGTTAGGGGCGGCCAAACCAAAACGCGGCATCAGAGCATGAAGTCACTAACTTGGTAGATGCAGACTACTTGGTTGGGGTCGCCGTGACTATCGTAACCAATGGTCAGAGACTCTGTCTGACATGGTTCAGAATCGATCACAACGGCGCAGAAATATACATTTTCTATCTTCCCTCAAAACCATAATATTAAAATTGCTTCATATCTGTCATTCTTCCTGGATTATATCCTTATATACAACCTTTCTTTTATATATTACCACTACGAAATTAACTACTATGAATTCGCTGTTCATCTTGTTGTGGCAATGAGGTATGGCAACTTGGACCAATGCATATATATAGCTGAGTGACTGACTGATTTATTGAATCAAATACCATCATATTTACAGTTGGGTATCAATCTCTGTACTATTTAATCTTATATCTTTTCGAGATTTGTATAGATCATTTGAAGGTAACTATCATTAGACGTTTAATTTAGTATTGAAGGTACTTCACTTTTAGATATTGAATTGCTTGTATTGAAAATCTATCAATGACCATTTACATTTTATTATTCATTATGATACTTATTACATCAAATTGCGAATCTGAGTTAATGACTACTGTATTAAGTTGTTTAGACATAGATTTGTTAAAATATGTTTGTTAATAAATGAACCTATCACCCTGAATAATTAGTAGATACTCTCGATTTTTTTTTTTTTCATTCGATAGTAATTTCAGTCTAATCACGTTGTAACCTAATAATCATCCAGTTTTCTTTAATGAATTATTATATCATTATTGGTTATGATTGATTACATAGCTAATTGTAAGACTTTGAAGAATACAACTGAAAGATAATCAATAATAAGAGTTGATAATAATTCAACAATGGTTGAGATTACCATTACTTATTAATAAGAAATTTTATAATGGGATTAAAAAAAAAAAATTAAAAAAATCAGTGATTAGTTAACTTGAAAATTCCCATTTTGACATTTGTTAATTAAAAAAAGGAACGAATCAAGCGAAGAAATTTTTTTTTCAATTAGTTTTTCATCATGGCTCTACACTAATATTCATATATGATTTACAATAAATAAATAACACTCATGGAGTAGATACGTTACGTAATGATTATATAATGACATCGATTATAAACTAACATTAATTGGAAGAGAAGGATTAATACTAATCAAAGTTATTATTCGAAAATCAAGCTGTTGCTACGTTGCATAATATATAAAACAGGAGAAGAAGGAACTAATAAAATATTTTGATGAATGTTCAGTAATATAGCAATTATGTAAGAATCAAGAGACGAATGAAGAGAATAAGTAAAATACAAAATACAAAAAATGGAAGGAATAAGATAATTGTTTACCGAAATTATGCTACAAACTCCGCTATACCGATGGCCAAGGTAGCGAGAGTGGTTGTAAAAACTTCTTTTGGATACATAGGTTCGGTTTGTAGATATGAATTGCGATGGCTTCAGCTATGTGCAATAGACGAGCTCGTAAACCATGTGGCAAATTTGATGGAATATGGTAGATAACCTTAAAAGCTTTATTCAGTTCAACATGATGACCTGTGTCCACCAAGTGAGTGAGAATAGAACTCTTAATCCCCTTTATCTGTCCTTTAGTCAACCATGACAGATGGTGTTCTGTTATTCGTTGACGAACTTGCCGAATTGTACGCCCTATATAACTGGCTCCACAGGAGCAGTTGAATTGGTAAATACACATAGATGTGGCGAATTCAGGCAATCTGTCTTTATTAACAGTTCTTATTGTGGGGCGGTTGTAGAAGACGGTACTAAGTCGGGCTGCATTAAATGTTTTCTGTACTGCCCTTCTTAACTTCTGTGTCAAGATTTCTTCAGTAGCATCATTTAAGAATTGTAACTTTAGGAACAGTACCTTCTTCGGAACAGTTGGTAACTTTGTCCTTCTTTTCGTCTCCGTCATGTGTTTGTCGATGAATTTCATTGGATACCCATTCTTACTAAGCAAGTTTCGAATATTAGCCAATTCATCTAAAATAATGTCGTCAGAGCAAATCATTCTAGCACGATGAGTAAGGATCTTTATTAGGTTTCTTTTGTATTTCATTGGTACTGCGCTATAGAAATGAGTGTACTGTCCAACTGTAGATTTTCTATGTAATCCTCTTTTTAATGTTCCGTCTATTCTTCTGGTTAGTTGGACATCTAAAAACGATATACTACCATTCTGTTCTTCTTCTAGTGTAAACGTAATTGATGGGTGGATATTATTAAATATATTAAGTATGTTCTCCTTTTCATGTTCTTTTTCTAATACTATGAAAGTATCATCTATATAGCGACAATATGATGTTAGATGGCTAATTGTGTCTTTGAGTGGACCATTTTCTAGTTTTGCCAGAAAAATGTCTGCCAGTATAGGGCCCAATGGTGACCCCATGGCTACCCCATCTAATTGTCTATAAGTATTTTACTTATTCTCTTCATTCGTCTCTTGATTCTTACATAATTGCTATATTACTGAACATTCATCAAAATATTTTATTAGTTCCTTCTTCTCCTGTTTTATATATTATGCAACGTAGCAACAGCTTGATTTTCGAATAATAACTTTGATTAGTATTAATCCTTCTCTTCCAATTAATGTTAGTTTATAATCGATGTCATTATATAATCATTACGTAACGTATCTACTCCATGAGTGTTATTTATTTATTGTAAATCATATATGAATATTAGTGTAGAGCCATGATAAAAAACTAATTGAAAAGAAATTTCTTCGCTCGATTCGTTCCTTTATTAGTTAACTTGTTTTTTTTTTTTTTTAAAAAAAAAAAAGTTTGCTTAATTGATAATGAACAAACATTATATGACCTATAATAATTTGTTAATTGGCTATAAAAATGTGCATCTTTTTTT